CACTGGACCATTCCTTGGACTTCCCCAGACTGTCTCTTGGATTGTACAGACACACCCACTCACCCCTTCCTCCCACCCCTCCCCCCACCCTGTCCAACAAACTGGAAAAAATCTGGCCATAAATGAGGAAGTAAAACCCAATAGGGATTCAACATGCATGTACACTAAAAAAAAAAAAAAAAAAAAAATGTTGTCCCCAAGTGACCTTTGGACATCGAAAACCACTTAAGAAGTAATGTATATGGGATGCATTCATCATGTGACTATAACAGAGAGGATCATGGAATGGTGCATGTTGCCAGTCATCTATGTCAGTCAAAGAAAAGTCCATGTCTTCAGGGATCAGCCCCCACCCCTTTACTTTTGTAATTCCAAAGTCTGTCAGCTTAAGCAAGAAAGTGAGGACAGAGCTGGCCCGCCCCCATATAGCTGGCAGATTAGATTGCACTCAGGTTCCGGATGTGGCTCATGTGCCACAGGATTGTAAGGCAGCCAGGCAGCAGTCACATGGCCAGCCTGCGCTAATAGTCAGAGCCTATCAAGAAGAAAAGAGGAAGAGGAAGAAGACGAGAAAGAGAGAGAGAGAAAGAAAGGAAGAAAGAAAGAAAAGAAAGAAAGAAAGAAAGAAAGAAAGAAAGAAAGAAAGAAAGAAAAAGAAAAGAGAAAAAAGAAAGAAAAGAAAAGAAAAAAATGAGGGGCTAGAGAAAAGCACTGGATCTGGGTTTGATTCCCAGCACCCACGTGGTGGTTCACACCCACCTTTAACTCTAGTTCCAGATGATCCAGCGTCCTCTGCTGGCCTCCATGGGCTCTGGGCACATCCAGGGTGCTGACTGAGCCCTCTCGGCCAGGTTTTGTGAACCTAGGGGAGAGAGTGAGGACTGAGAAAAGAAAGACAAGAGCTAGAGGTCAGGAAGTTCACAGCAAATGCTGAGATGAACTTTATGTTCTTCAGTTCTCTCTTTATACCCAACAGCCCTTGCATGAGCTTCTTGTAGGCATGTAATTAATACAATACGTGAAGCCTAAGCAAAGTGAAAAGTGCGTAAGTGCATACAGAAAATTAACCAACTTTCTTATCACGCTTCCCTGTGACCCATCTTAAAGTTCATGGGCCGCTCACTCTACTTTCTCGGGCACCGAATAGGCCAAGAATCAATCTCCTCAGGCATAGACACTGGCAGATATGCAAGCCATTAATCTCAGCCTTAGGCAACTCTCATATTGTTTAAACAGATCCCAACACGGTGCACACACACACCTAAATACATAAATAAAATAATAATAATAAAATTAGGGAAAAAAAGAAAGATGAAAGAGAGGGAAAAAGGAAGAAAGTGAATTCAACAGGGGTCTGGGGACATATAGCTGGGCTTTGCCAAGACCCGTAGTGGAGCCTCACATTTACTAGCTAAGAAAGGCTTTGGCAGATCTGAACGACTTGGACCAGCAAACACATCCAGTTTATGAAATGGTAAAGCAATCAAAGCGGGGATAAAAAAAGGAAAGAGCAGATAAGGATCCTTCTTCTGGCCTCTGTAGGTACCAGGCACACACAAGAGATACACAGACATACATGCAGGCAAAACACTGGTACACATAAAAGAAAACTGTCTGTAAAAGTAAGGAAAGGCGCTCCCAGAAACCACAAAGATGGTGGGTGAAAACTCCGGTAACAGGAGGATTTCCTCCTTCTGAATTGCTGGCTAAGAAGGTCTCCGAGGACCTGTATTAAATGCTCTTTGCCACTGAAGATGGCTGCACACCAGCACTGATGACTAATCTTCAAACACTACATTCTCTGGTTACAGGGCACAGAGACATCAAGCTGGGCAGAGCTGGAGGCTTCCCTCCTGATGGCTGGCATAAATCATACCAGAAGGCACTGTGCAGGCTGCTGAGAAAGGATTGTTGTCGTCAGTCCTGTTCAGCTGGATCCCACTTGCCATATTACCAACACGTAGGCAAGATAGTCACTCAACTTGCACCAGCGTTGTGACAGTTAAGGATATAACCAACTACTCTTCTGATCGGATTTCAGGCCCCGCCCAGAAGTGGAAACTTAGGTTTGGTATTGAGCATCAGGGCAAAACCTTTCGGCTGGCACCGGCAGGACCGGATATGCAGAAGACTGCTGCTCTTCAGCTGAGGTCCTTCTCTTCTGGTGTGGGTGGAGGTTACTGCGGAGATTCATAACCAGTCAAACTGGTGCGAAGAAGCAGCTATGGTTTGGGTGTAGAGTTCCAGTATTAGAAAATAATACTATCTACACCACCCGGTCAAAGGCCGAACATGGCCGAAGAGGTGGTAGAAAGAATTTAAGCGCTGGAGGAAGGGGTGGGACATCGTGGTGTCACCATTTCCTTTTCAAATGAAGATGCAGAAGTTGCTGAGGGGACCAGACAGTACTTGGGTCTTGCAGCCATAGAACAAAATCTTTGCACTTTGCACAAAGCAAAGCATTGACAGCTAAGTGGAATGGTGAATGTCATGTGTCTGGGGAGGGGGTTGGCCAGACCCTCACCTGGGATTCGTGCCACCACTCCTCCCTGAACCCTAACTGATCCCATGATCTGGGATCCTGGGGAATGCTGAGTGTGCAGGAAGTAGAAGGTTGACAGCGGGTCAAGACTGGGTGACACATTCCTCATGCATGCGTGGGTGCTACGTGTCTCTAACAGCTCCTTTTCAGGCAGTCACCCAGGCTCCTGTAATTAGCCCCAGTAAACGTGATGGCTTACCAAGCTGGACTTGGATGGAGCCATTTCTTTCCGTGGGTCATCAGGTCTTCACAGCAAGAGCTTTAGCCTGGTGCACCACCTCCCCAGCCCCAGGTAAAAATTTATTCTTGCAGGTTAAAGGTTGAAAGAAGGCTTGAAATAGGGGCTGACACCACTGCAGTAGAGAGAGGTCTAGCTGGGCTCTAAGCAGAGCAAGCAGTTATAAGCCAGTGTGCAGAGTGAGGGGCTAGACACCAGGCCTAGGGATGTCTAGCTACAGAGGCACGTAACCCAGGCTAGCCTCTTTTTTTTTTTTTTTTTTTTTTTTGTGGCGATCCTCCTGCTTTAGCCTCTGGCCTTTAGCGATTACAAACGAGAGCCATCACACCAGCTCATAACCAACTGTAATGGCCAAACTGGAGCTCCAGGTGAGAAGATGAGAAACGGCCTTTAAAGCCTGGCGAAGGAGTGAGTCTGCCAATAACACAATTTAACTATCTTATCAAAATAGAATGGGGGTGGACATGGCAGCACACACCTTTCACCTCAGCACTTTGGAGGCAGAGGCAGGCAGATCTCTGTGAGTTCAAGGCCAGGCCGTTCTACAGAGAGAGTTTTAGGACACAGCCAGAACAGCACAACAGAGACCCTGTCTGATAGAACCAAAACAATAACAGCAACAGACTATAATAAGTTGAAGGACAGTCAGTACTACTTGAGACCATTTTTTTTTAATTTAATTAAAAAAGAACAGCTTCATTTAGAATATTTGTTTCTTTGTGTGTCCCCCCCCACACACACACAAGGTTTCTCTGTGTAGCCCTGGCTGTCCTGGAACTTACTCTGTAGACCAGGCTGGCCTCGAACTCAGAGCTCCACCTTCCTCTGCCTCCTGAGTGCTGGGATTAAAGGGGTGCGCCAGCACCCCTCTCCCCACATTTGTTGCTTTGTATATTACATGCAGATAGCATTTATTTGTGTGTGGATGTTCGTGTGTGTATTTGTGAGTGCCCACGTGTGTGCCATGGTGTGCATTGGGAGGACAGAGGACATCAGGTGTCTGTCCTTGCTCCTGCCTTGTTTGAGGTAATGTGTCCAGCTGTTTCACCCAGGCTAAGCCAGGCTAACCGGTCACAGATTTCCAGGGATTCTTCCGTCTTCACCTCTTATCTCATTTTAGAAGTGCTTGGCTGTGTGGGTTCGGAGATCCTCACACTACAGCGTGTGTGTGTGTGTGTGTGTGTGTGTGTGTGTGTGTGTCCCGTCCCATCCCCGTGTAAGGGATACCCCACTTCCAAAGCCAGCCCTCTGTTGTTAAGCCACCCCCCCCCCCCCAGCCCAGTCTTCAGGCTATTCTCTAGGGCGTTCCAGGCCAGCCACGGATACATAGTGAGAAGCTGTCTCAAAAATAAATAAGTATATAAATAAATAAGAGAAAAGTAAGAAAGAAATGAACAAAATTGGGATTTAAGGATATGGCCCAATGGTAGAGTACTTGCCTGGAATTAATGGGGACCCGTCACTCACCCACAGCAGTGCAAAAATAAAGAAAATAAACAGATAGACAAAACGAGACACTGCCTAAAATAAATGAATTTTGTTACTGATTACAACTCGCTAAGGCTGGAAAAATCTCCTGTATATTTAAATCAACCACACGTAAGCCAGCGGCGGTGGCACGTGACTGTAATTCCAGCACTCAGGAGTCAGTAGGGAGATGAGAAGTTGCCGGAAGGAAGCGGTACTGCTCTCCCCACTACCAGTCAGGGCAGCCTGAGGCTAGCAGTTCAAAATGACTTCGCCATAGCTGAGTCACACTTAGGAGTCCTCAGCCACCTAGCACAGCACTTCTCCAACTTTAGCTTGCACTAAAACTCGGAGCCGGGTCCTGTCCTAGTGCTCCAGGGCTTCTGGGCTGGGGACCACAGTCTGCATTTTCCAGGTCTGAGTGGCCTGGCCTGTGGACCACAGCTTGTGAGTGTCAGACACTGCTAGGGAGGGCTTAAGGGTCTCGGCTTCTACTGCTAGGAGTACTGAGAACTAGCTCTTTCCCTCTTCCCTGCTCAGTTCCCTTGGGCAGCCGGGCCAGCCGGAAGGCCCCTGTGGACGGCCAGCCCCTGAGCTTTACCGAGGCTGATTCAGGGGCTCCGCCATTCCCCTTGCACACGCAGATGCTGGAAATGCTTAGAAGAAAGCTGCTGCGGGGTCACGTGACCCGGAGAGGCTGTGTCCCCCCCCCCCCCCCCCCTAGCCCCGAACCGCTGGGCGGGGCGTAGCTGCGGGCGGGTCCTCCCGGGGCGGTCCAGCCGGAGGGTCCTCAGTCCATCTGGATGTGGAGCGGCCGAGCAGAGCGCCCACCGCCGAGCGGAGAGATCCCATCGGGGCGCCGTCATGCTCCGGGGCCCGCTGTGCTCGCTGCTCCTGCTGCTGGCGCCGCAGCTGCTGGACGCTGCGCACGGCGACTATGTAAGTGTTCGGTGCCACCGCGCGGGGACGCTCCGCCGCTGGGAAGCGGGCAGAGGCCGAAGACAGGCGCTGCTCGGCCGGCGGGGACCCGGGGGACCCCCGATCGCCCCTCGGAGGAGGCGCAGGCAGCGGCGCGGCCTCCCGTAGTGGGCGGGCCGGCCGGGCGGGGCGCGCGTCCTTCCTGGTTGCCGGTTGCGTGTGTGTTCCGCTGCGGCGGTCCGGTGCGCGCGGACCTGCTTCCCGGTTTGTGCAACGCGGTCGGAGACTAGCCGAGGTGCGCCCGCATCTTTCCAGCTTCGGTTTCTGGGGAGAGGGACGCCAGGCTGCCCGGGGCTGCGAGAGGGCTCCCCGGGCTGCGGCGTGGGGCGCGATCCTGGCGGACTTTGGGCTTCACGGGGCGCCCCGGAAGCGGGGAAGAATGGGGTCAGAAGAAGCTCCTGCAGTGGGGTCACGGGAATATTTGCTTTCGGAGACAACTCCCTCTTAAAATATACCGTTCTCTTCTCGCCAGCCACCTGCTGGCTGCTTTTAGTTTGGGCTGTTCATCACCTTGCCAGGAGCCTTTCCTCTTTTAGGGTTTGGCGGTGCAGTGGAGGGTAGGGAGAGCCGGGCGAGGTCTGGGGGAGGGCAGGCGCTGAGGCGCGTTGGACATGCTCCTGGAGGTCCGCACCGAACCTGCGAAGGGGACAGGGGCGTGGTAGAACAATGGCTCCTGCTTCTCTGCACTTTGAGCTAATCAGCTTGGGGCCCTCCACTTGGACTGAGTCTGGGTAAGTTCAAGTAGATGTTCGTAGACTTTGAGCCTTACAACTTGTAAAGATTACGCTCCCGGTCAGAGGCACACGTTTCCCTAAGGCCAGAGTTGAAACCTGTTTAAGTTTTTGGAAAACAGTGGCCGAAAATACTTTCATTTGAGGAAAAGGTTGTTGCAGATTGAGCGCCCGCCGCTCCGTGAGAGTTTGACATCCTTGAGAACCAGTGTGCAGAGGATCAAGGGAACAGGTAGGGTGCAGGGCAGAAAGGCGCCCATAACGCCTTCAGAATGGCAATGGGCAAGAAGAGATAAGGATTTATGGAGGTCACCAGTCTGTAAGTGATTAGGTAATAGGTGCCAGATGCCCTGTGAGAGGCCCATGCAGAAGCTGCTATGCTATCTTCTTGGGATTTTTTTTTCTTTCCCTGAGGCAGGGTTTCTCTGTGTAGTAGCCCTGGCTGTCTTGGAATCAATTTGTAGACCAGGCTGGCCTCGAACTCACAGAGATCTGCCTCCCGGTGTTGGGATTAGAGGCCTGGCTTCCTGGGGAGTTCTTAGGTGTGTGGATAGCCCTCTGGAGCATTTAGGTTAGAGCAGAAGAAAAGTCACAGATGACTAGTTTTCCATTGTTTTTCTGTTTGATTTGTAACATTAATTCTTAAACTTTCAGCCCTAGGTTAAACATTAAAATGTGTACTTTCTTTTTTGTTTTTGGCTTTTCAAGACAGGGTTTCGCTTTGTAGCCCTGGCTGTCCTGGAACTCACTCTGTAGACCAGGTTGGCCTAGAACTCAGAGATCGGTGTACCTCTGTGAGTGCTGGGCTTAAAGGCGTGTGTCGTAAAATGTGTACTTTCTTAAGAAGCCACAAACCAGTTGCCAATGAACAAGCGGTATACTTGTATGAAGAAATGTCTCAGTTTTGGCATAGAGTTGTACTTACTTTAAAAGCAGCCCCCCCCCCTTTTTTTTTTTAATGACAGGGTCTCATGAAGCCCAGGCTGGCCTCAAACTTGGCATGTAGTCAAACATAACTTTGAACTTCTGATAACTCCTGCCTTTACCTCCCAGATGCTGGGAGTATAGGTGTACCACCATGCCCTGTTTACCTGGGGCTGGAGGTGGAGCCAGAGCTTTGTTTGTGCTAGGCCCTCTCCTGTCTGAGCTCCGGAAGTCAGATGTCCGGGTTGACATTTGCAGTCTGCAGTCAACTCCCGTTCCGGTGGTCTTTGAAGAACTCCAGGGTGTACTCGCTGGGGGAGTGAGAATGGAAAGGCAATCTTTCCGTTGTTACGAAGATAATTTTGACTCAGTGAGAGATTTTGCCCATACTACACTCTGGCAACTGATAATTTAGAATAATGTTTTTCCTATTATCAAAAAAAGAAAACAGGTGCCGGGCGTGGTGGCACACACCCGTGATCCTAGCACTCTGGGAGGCAGAGGCGAGTGGATCTCTGTAAACTGGAGGCCAGTCTGGTCTACAGAGTAAGTTCTAGAACAGCCAGGGCTACACAGAGAAACCCTATCAAAAAAAAAAAAAAAAAAAAAAGAAAAAAGAAAGAAAGAAAGAAAGAAAGAAAGAAAGAAGAGAAAAGAACGTTCATGCCCATTGTGGGGAACCTTTAACCACATGAAATACCATTGAGACAATGGAAACTGAGGCTGGCCTTAGGATGCCTGCCTAGCTCGCATGAAGCCTTGGGTTCCAGAGACAGATAAAACAATTGCCATGGTTGAACATGCCTGTAATCTCAGCACCTGTTAGGTGGAGGCAGGAGGATTGGAAGTTCAGTCCTTGGGTACATTGTGAACTCAAGGCCCGTTTGGACCACATGAGACCTGTCATGAAAGGAAGAGAGAGAGAGACCTGCCCATCATACCTTATGCCATGATTGCAGTGTGTTTTAATAATAAAGTCTGGCACCTAGGTGGTGTTTGTGTGGCTTGGATTTCCGGCAGGTTGGAGTTGTGTGCATGTTCTGTGGGTTTTGGCTGACTGGGGATGAAAATGCTCTCTAATGATCCCACCAAGCTGATGCCAGTTCCTGGTTGCAGGCGGAGCTGACCTGGAAGTCTCTCATTGGCTACTGTCCTTTATCAGGAAGTCACTTGCCTCCCAAAGTCCACCTGCACTGAGTTGGGGACTCTTCATGAGCTGAGAGAATGGCACTCTTCAGGCAGCTGTCCCTGGGTTCCAAGGCTGCCCTGGCTGCAGCCACTGTCTTCACTGTGTCCTTGATCCTCTCCCGCTCCTTTCTGGCTAAGACCCTTGAGCTCCAGGCCTGGCGCTGGCTGTTCCGCCTGCAGCTGGTCCTGTTTGTCAACTCGCTCATGCTCATTGGTTCCTTGTACATCTGGCGGAGCACAGTCAGCAGCCTCAGCCATTCCCCTGCTGTGGAATCTACCTGTTTCCGGCTCTGGAAGCTGGTTGTCGTGGCATTTCTGGCCCTGGCACATTCCAGTTTCTTCACCATGCTCTTCTTGGTGGCCGAGGAACCCCATGTGTTCTCCTTAGCAGCCTTCTCCTGCCTGGGTGCCTATATCCTCATGCTTTTCTTCCTCTGTATCTTGAATGCCATGGAGCAGGCCTACCAGTTCTTAGCCTGGCGCAGTGGTAGGGTAGTGGGCAGCGTCGACAAGACGCGGCACCTGGTGCTCAGGCCTGCCCTGGCCGTGGCGGTGACGGCTGTGCTCAGTACCGTTGGCCTTCTGAACGCTGCCCAGCCCCCAGTGGTGAAAACCGTGGAGGTGCCCATCCACCGGCTGCCCCCCTCTCTGAATAACCTCAAGGTCGTGCTCCTGTCGGACATTCACCTGGGGCCCACCGTGGGCAGGACCAAGATGGAGATGTTCGTGAGGATGGTGAACACGCTGGACCCGGACATCACCGTGATCGTGGGCGACCTCTCCGACTCCGAAGCCTCCGTCCTGCAGACAGCGGTCGCTCCTTTGGGGCGGCTCCATTCCCGTCTCGGCACCTACTTCGTCACAGGCAATCACGAGTACTACACATCAGACGTCAGCAACTGGTTCGCACTGCTGGAATCCTTGCACGTCCGGCCCCTGCATAATGAGAACGTGAAGATTTCTGCCCCCGGGGACCCGGACGGTGGGGGTAGTGATAAAGAATGGGTCTGCCTGGCGGGTGTGGACGACATAGAAGCAGACATCCTTCACTACTCTGGGCACGGCATGGACCTTGACAAGGCTCTGGAGGGCTGCAGCCCAGATGATGCCACCATCTTACTGGCTCATCAGCCTCTGGCTGCCAAGAGAGCCCTCCAGGCTCGGCCGGATATAAACTTGATCCTTTCCGGGCACACGCATGCAGGGCAGATCTTTCCCTGGAATGTCGGGGCCTATCTTCTCAACCCTTTTTTTGCTGGACTCTACCAAGTAGGCCAGGCTACATTTGTGTACGTCAGCCCGGGTACAGCCTACTACGGGATCCCCATGAGGCTGGGGAGCAGGGCGGAAATCACAGAACTCATCCTGTGGCGGGCTCCCTAAGCCTGCCCTGGTGACCCCGCCCTGCCCTGCCCTGCCCTGCCCTGCCCTGTCCTGTCGTTGCCCATCACTCTCATCCATCTCCTGCTCTGGCCGAGCCCTGCCAACAGCCTTTGGCTGCAGCCTGCTGGGAATCAGTGATTTGCAGCGGGGCTGCCTGGCAAGTTCAGGCCAGTTTAACTCTTCGGAGAATCGATTGCTTTTTGATGATATACCCCTGGGTATCATCAGATTTACATTTGCTTTCCAGCTGCTGTAGAGAGGGGCCCTTTTGCAGAGGGTTGGGTGGCTAGAAAGGACAGGTCTTCTCAGATACAGGGAGGGGCAGGAGTACTTGTCTCCTGTGGCTTTAACCCTGGTTAGGGCTTCTTTGGTGGGTTCTGGAATCACTTGATCTAGAGACAGTTGGTCTGGGCATGGGCCTTGTTGAGAGGTCAAGTGAGATGGGCACCTCCCTCTGCCTTTTCTCCTTGGTTCAGTCAAGGTCACCTTTATTAAGGACATCGACAAAGCCCACCACCGGGACATGGGCCCTTCCGGTCATGCTGATTACCTGGCTGGACAGGGATGGCTGGAGAAGAAAGCATGGGCACTGTGGTGTGTGATGACTGCCATCTCTTAAGGACTTGGCAGCTCCGAATCCCTGGTTCTGTGATGTCTTTGGGTGAGGTAATTAAGGACAGGCTGCTTCTATGTTTGGGGGTTAAGAAAAGGACACTGGACGACGGGATGAGGTGTGCTCGAAGGTACCGTGACAAATACTTGTCTAGGAGGTTCCCAACTTTGGGTTCCAAATGAGCATGAGAAAACAAGAGTATATGTAAGGGAGAGAGAAAGAGAGAGTGAGAGAGACTGTCTTACCTGCTTGGGGACATTCTACTCCATCTACCTTGGCCTCTGGCCACAGAAGCATAGGATCGTTCATAGGGCCTCTAGGCACACAAGGAAGACAAAACAATGCCTGCACGTTTGTTGGTTTAGCCTTTGCCAAGGGCAAGAGAGACTTTGCCCTTTGCAGAGCAGAAAACTGAGCATTGAGATGTGTTCAGGAACATCCAGTAGCTTTGACTCTGAGAGTCCTCTGGAAGGAGATGCAGATGCTCTCTCTCTGGAGAGGGACGTCCTGCTGCTTATGAGAGAAGGTTGATGTCCCCCTAGATTCCTGGAGATGGCTGTGATTCTTACATCTACCTCAAGGCTGCTTTGCTGGGAGAAAGCTGAGCCTGTATCTCACACTCAGCATGTTGTGTAATGTTAGTGTGCTAATCAGTGCGTTGAAACCTGCAAAGGGACGTTGCCAGTCCCGGGAGCCTAGAGAGTCAATCCTGGGGACCGTCGGCGGGTGGCATGCTGCCCTGCCAACAGAGCCCAGGTGTCCACGTGACGCCAGCTAAGAGCCACCTTCCTGTCGCATGCCTGAATTTCCTATGCACCTTCTGCTTCGTAGATGGCAGTTCGCGATGGCGTCTAGGGGTGCAGGAGATTACACTCATTTGTTGTCTCCCTGCCAGGTAGTAGCAGTTGGCCAAACAGCCCCAGATAAATAATAAATAAATAAGTAATTTCAAAATGCACGCCTGTACCTCCCAGCGCTCAGCAGGTAGACATAGGAAAACTAGGAGTTCAAAGCTGAGGCCATCCTGGGCTACATGAGACCCTGTCTTGGAAAGAACAGAGAGAGAGAAAGAGAGAGAGAGAGAAATAGCCTTGCCTTGATGCTGTGGTGCTGTCACTCCCTCCCACCCTGCACAGGGTTTCAGTGCCCTGGGAGAGATTTTGTGAAGAGCGTGATTTGGTGGTGGGATTTAGGAGAGGCCAAGGCCTCAGCACCTAGTTCTTTCAGACCCCTTCTGGGCACTGCCCCCACCTGCCACCCCTCCAGCCTCTCGGGAGGCCACTTTCTGCAGTGTTTTCCACCCCTGGTGATTCCACCCCCTTTGGGGTCACCACTGCCCTTTCTTAGCTTTGGATTTCACCAGACAGTTGACACCTTTTCACTCCAACCTCCCGGGGAGCTCTCCTGCCCAGCTTCTGTTATTTTTACTAGTTCCTTGATAGCTAGATGCCCGGCCTGTGTCACCACAGGGCCTGTGTCACCACAGGGCCTGTGTCACCACAGCAGGCTCCTTCCGTCCGCCACGAAGCTCTGCTTCACCAAAGGCTTTTCTGTTAGCAGGAAGGCATTGGGTTGCTGCCCATGGGGAGAGAACTTGCCTTGCAAGTGTGAGGCCTGGGTTCAGTGTCAGGGCTGGCCAGTGAAGCAGCTCCTGGCCGGCACTCACTCCTACAAGCTTCCGTCCCCGGAACCCACGGTGGAAGGAGAACGCCGACTCCACAGTTATCCTCTGACCTCCACATACGTGCTGCCACGTGTGTGCCCACACTTAGACACAGGCCACAGAGTGCACACACAATAATATAGATAAAATCATTTTCTAAAGAGATGAGCCTGCCTGCTCTCCTGAAAGTCTTTTATTATTCTTTTTTTGCTTTTGGTTTTTTGGTTTTTCTTTTCCAGAAAGGGTTCCTCTGTGTAGCCTTGGCGGTCCTGGATTCACTTTGTAGACTAGGCTGGGCCTCAAACTCAGAGAAATCCTCCTGCCTCTGCGTCCCTGAGTGTTGGAAATACAGGCGTGAGCCGCTGCGCCCGGCTAATGTCTTGTATTCTAATAAAAGGGAAACAGTGATTCTGTGTTCTTGTTAGCTTTCTCTCTCCTCCTGAGAGAGACTGTTTCTTCACCTTCTTCACACCTTCCGGGCCATCCGGCACATGGACACCTGGGTATTCCTGAAATTCCCTTCTTCTCCCTCCCATTTTGACGGGGTATTCCTAAGGTTGGCCAGCCGCTCTGGGATGCAAGCTCTTCTGCTCTCAAACCCCGAGCGCTTGGGGCTCCAGGTGTGTGCCACCGCGGGCACCCCTTGCAGTCAGCTTTGTTTCTGTGGTTCTGGTTGTAACCGTGCCCGCCTTCCTTTCTGAAGTCAGTTGTTGGGGTGTGGCCAAAGGTTTGGCGGCTGGGTTGTCGCCAAATATCGATTTTGTTTATTCTTTGTGCATTTTTTTTTTCTGGTCCCAATTTTATTGATCTCTGCTCTTTCTATTTGTTGGTTGGTTGGTTTCGTTTGGTTTTTTGGGGACAGGGTCTCAGTATGTAAACCTGGCTGGCCTGGAACTCACCAAGTAGACCAGGCTGGCCTAAAACTCTGAGAGATCTGTCTACCTCTGCCTTCCCAGTTCTTTCTCTAATTTCTTGAGGAACTGTCCTTTTACGATTTTCTTTTTGTTTAAGTCAAAGTCTGAAAAGGTTCTATATATTGTGTGTGTTCTATGTCTCTTTTAAGTCTGTTATATTCCTCTTACACATGCATAAAAAAAAAAAAGAAAAATAATCGAGGACATCTTTATTTATTTATTTGTTTGTTTGGTTTTTGGCTGTCCTGGACTCATAGGGATCTACCTGCCTCTGCCTCGCTGAGTACTAGGACTATAGGCGTGTGCCACCACGTCCGGCTTTAATGTATATTTTAAAATTAGTTTGTACATGTGTGTTCCTTGCGCGCGTGCATGTGTGTGTGTGTGTGTATGTGTGTGTGTGTGTGTACATGTGTATATATAGTCCTAATATGGGGGTCAGGAGCTAGTTCTCCTCTTCCTGTGGGTCTCTGGGATCAAAGTCATATAGTGCTGATTGCTGCCAAGTGCCTTTATTCAGCTTTTTCTTTTTAGACTTATTTTTATTTTTAATCTTGTAGGTCTGTGTGCCTTCATGGGGGTGTGTACAGACGAGTGCAGATGTCTGGGGAAGCCAACGGCTTAGAGCTGGATTAACCTGATGGGGCCACTGATCCATCAAGCTTCCTCTTCTTCCTCCTCCAGCTTCCTTTTGTTTTGTTTTTGTTTTTGTTTTTTTTCCTTTTAGATTTTTTTTGAGACAGGGTTTGTCTGAGAAAAAGCGCTGGCTATCCTGGAACTCTCTCTCTAGACCAACCAGGCTGGCCTCGAACTCACAGAGATCCACCTATCTCTGCCCCTCCAGGGCTGGGATATGTTTTTTTTTTTTTTTCTTTTTCCTGAAATAAAGGGCCAGGGTTAAGCTGATCACTGGCCAGGAGTGCAGGAGGGTTAGGAAACAGACCTACAGTGCTCATCACTCTCTGCGGCCTCTGCTTTGCTATCCTCCGCGTCTCCCGTGGCAGCGTCTTCTTTCTAGCCAGTCTTACAAGACACATAGAAATGAGCAAGATTAATAAGCACGGGTGTGGGCTAGAGCAGGTGTCCACAAATCTTCCCTACGGGTATTGATTGCTTCCGTGGACCTCAGTTACTTTGCTTCGCAGGCCTGTGGAAGGGAGGTCCTGGCCACAGCAGCCGCTGGGCATCCTTCTGGTCTTCTGAAATCACTCTTGGCTTTCGCTTTGCTGTGTGACCTTAAGGGACTACAGAGGCCTTACGTGTGTGAAGGCCTCCCACTTCCCCCTCCCCTCACTGCCATAGCCCTGGTTTGCTAGTAGAACAGGCTGGGCTTCACCCTGGAGCTAAGGTGCCCCAGCCAGGAGCTCCACAGAGCCCTGAGGTCAGGTGACAGGTCTTGTAAGTGTGATTGGAGACCCGTTGGATTGGAACCTCCAGTTTCCTCCCAAGAGACCTGGAGGCCAAGGTCCTGATCAGTTTGTTCATAATGACCCTTAACCTGTGATGTCACCAAGCTGCTTTACTCTTTGTTCAAGTCCAGGAATGTGCACAAGGGATGCAGATAATTTATTTTTAGCACTGAGGACTAGAACTCTTGGGCAGATGTTCAAGTTACCCATTGATGGCTGTACTGTGTTATGGTTAATGCTTTGTTTTATTTTTTTTAAGATGCTTATAACTGAAAAAAAAAAAAATCACACCAGTCAGTGTTAGACTCCTGAAGAGTACACTCAGTCTAAGGGTGTTTTTTGTGTGCACTGCCTTTTTTTTTTTTTTAAACCTCCAGTATTTTATGTGTTATGTATATAGTGGGGGTGGAGACTCCAGGGGCCTGAACCTCCCATAAGGCTTTGCTTGAAATTGGGTTTTGTCGTGTTCCTGTGGCTGTACACTTTGTAACCACTGATGCTACCACACCCTGCAAGTGTGAAATAAAGATTTATCTCTTCATGATGCCGTTTCCGTGTCCATTCATTCAGTTGGGGTTGACCGCACACTGGGAAAATTTGAGGTTTTTTTTTGTTTTTTGTTTTTAATTGCTAGAAGCTAGCTTCTCCTTTTCCTCTTTTGCTTTCTTCCTCCCTCCTCTTCTTTACCTTTTCTCTTCTCTCCTTTTTCCTTCTGCCTCCTCTTTTAAAGGAGCTTATTATTATTTATTAATTTATTTGCATGTGTGTGTGTGCTACGTGAGTTTATGACACTGTGTGTGTGCATAAGGTCCTTCAGAGCTGGAGTTCCAGGCAGTTGTGAGCTGGGAACTGAACTGGGCCTCTGGATGAGCCACTGAATGTTCTTTTTACCCCTGAGCCACCCCCCAACCCTCCTCCTCCGCTGCCTCCTGCCCCTCATGTTCTGCTAACCTTGTATGTGCCACAGCTCAGGGAGTCCAGAGGAAGTTGGGTGCTTGAGTTGGGTCTTCTTGGGTCCTCCAGCATTGAGAGTGACTGCTTTGGAGCCACGAGGTGGATTTTCCCTGTTCACCTTAGCAGTGAAGGTTAGGAGTGACCATCTGTCCTCTGTGTTTTCCACCTCCGCTGCTGGCCTCAGTGTTCTTTGAGAATCACTCCTTTCCCCTGGTTCATACAGCATGTTGTTGTTCGTGTATTGGGTGAGCAGGGCAGTCAGTGGATGTCCTGTGAGCTACTTTTCTGATTGCTATGACAGAATGGCCGACAGAGCTCACTTTTTCAAAATTATTACATTTACCTGTGTGCGTATGTATGTATGTGCACGTGTGTACAAGCTACATAGCACATGGGGAGATCACAGAGCAACCTTTGGAAGTCAGTTCTTCCCACCACGGGAGCCCTGGGGACCAAGCTCACGTTGCCAGGCTTGGTGGCAAGGGTGTTTACCTTCTGTGCCATCTCCCCACCGGCCCTATTTTGGCTCACAGTCCAAGGAGAGGCAGTCCTGGTGGTGGTGGGGAGCATGATGAGGTACGGTCGTGCCGAGTAAGCAATCAGGAAGCAGAGAGGAAACAGGAAGTAGAACCGATCTATAAATCCTCAAGAGCTGCCCGGCAGTGACATGGCCTCTAGCAAGGGTCCACCTGCTAATGTTCCCCAACCTTCCCAAACAGCGTCATCATCTGGGGACCAGGGGTTTGGAGATTAATTAAGTTCTGAAACTTTCACTGGATCCATAAAAGGCCTCGTATGTGGTGAGGGTCCTGCTGGCTTTTGGGGAAACCGGGCGAACTAATGGTAGGTGCACTCTCTACTTCTGGGATCCACTGTGTGGAGGGCTTGGGCCTTTCTGAGAGTGACAAGGGAGAGTGGCGGCCTGCAGCCTTTTGTAGTGTAAGTGGCTTAGACTTCACAACAGTATTCCTAAGTCCCTTTGTCGAGGGCCTGCTTGTGTTAGCGGTCACACTGTAGGGTCCTTCCTTCAGGGGCTCCACTCACCCGTCCCTTGAACCAGTGTGTCAGGAAACTGGCTCAAAGCTGGGAACTGGAAAAAGGTATCTCGTCTTCCCAGTGGCAGACATCAGCCATCCTGTCTCACTGCATGGGGACGCTGCCATTTCCAGGCCTAGGCTCACTACTGAGGATTGTGCCCGTCCGCTTTTGATGTTTGCAGCGGGCCCCGGTGATGGTGACAGGATCTCCTTGCCGTGTCCCCGAGATAGAGGGGCCCAGTGTCATGGCCACCTTTTCACTCACCTCCTAAGGACACAGCCCACTGTGAGGCGTCTAAGGTTACCAAAGCCCTTCCCACTGATGCATTCCTTACTGAAGGTACATCCTCAGGGCCTGCTGGAGCACATGGTTTATGTGGTCAGACAGTGGGTTCTCCCGTGTCCATCTTTACATTGCTCCCTCCCTGAACATAGGCACGCTTGCCGTCTTTCCTCCCTTCCTGCAGGCTAGTGTCATGCTTGTGTCCAAGAAACCATTCCATGAGCTTAGGGATTAGAGCCCAGACCAAGGTATGAGTCAGGGTAGGAAGCCCACACCAGTGTCCTCTCTCAGGATACCATGCCCTTTGCCCCATCTAGATTCATTCCCAGTGACCCACCGTGGTCAAACCCTCAACCTTGCTTTTCTGGTAGGAGATGAGGGTTTCTGTAGACACCATCACAGACACTCATGCCACTCAAAAGAATGGCCCGAGTGGCTTGAACCTGTCAGGCCCTCGCTTCAGAGCTATCAAACGTGCTAAACCAAGCCAGCCAGCTCCTCAGGCTGTCTAATTCCTGGAGACCCAAACGAGTGAAGTTAGTGCCAATTCCTGCATGAGGAGAGTCCTCAACAGGTAAAGCGCTTCCTGTGCAAGCCGGATGACCTGAGTTCAATCCCAGAACCCACAGAACGGAGGAGAGAGAGAACCAACTTCACTCTGTCCTCTGGTCTCCGCATGTGTGCTATGGCACACATACACACACACTCATACATCCACACACTTAAATACATACACACAGACACTTACATACACACACTAAAGTTTTAAAAAAATAAACATGCCGGGCCAGAGAGATGGCTCAGAGGTTTAAGAACACTGGCTGCTGTTCCAGAGGTCCCAAGTTCAATTCTCAGCAACCACATGGTGGCTCACAACCATCTATAATGAGATCTGGTGCCCTCTTCTGGCATGCAGGTGTACATGCAGGCAGAACGTTGTATACATAATAATTATAATAAAAATCTTAATAAAAAATTAACATGCCAAGTCTTGCCCCCCTTTAGGCTGGACCTCTTCTCTATCTGGCATAGGTGAGGGGCATGGCGTGCATTTTAGGTGTCCCTGATAACCCATTAAACACTAGCTGTAGGGTCTGGGTTGCTGGTCCACATCTCTGAAAACTCCAGAAGCTGACCCATGACCCATCTGGAGATATCTTTGTTATATCTCTCAATGGCTGACAGAAGAAACATAAGGATTTGGTTTTGGGATCGTGGTGTGAGGGTGCATTCCATGATGATGGGGGAGGCATGATGGCAGGAGTGTGAAACGCTGGTCACCACTGGGTCCACAGTGGAAAGAAAAGAGTGAAGGCAGGTACTCAGCAGGCCCCCAGCCCATGGCATCGTGCCACCCACCCCCAGAGTGGGTCTCCCACCCCCAAGCTAAGCTTCCCCGCCATCTCCGTCACAGATGCTGTCTTAGTCACCGTTCTCCTGCTATGAAGAGACACCATGACCAAGAATGCGTTTAAGTGTGAGGCTTGCTTACGGTTTCAGAGGGTGAGTCTGTGAGCGGGGCAGGGAGCATGGCCCCAGGTAGGCAGACGTGGTGCTGGAGCCGTAGCTGAGCGCTCGCACTTATCCACAAGCGCCAGGCAGAGGGAGCTAACTAGGAACAGTGTGGGCTTCAGACACTCCAAAGGCCACTCCTAGTGACACACCTGCTCCAGCAAGGCCACGCCTCCCAATCCTTCTAAACAGTTTCACCAACTGGGGACCAAGCATTCAAATACGTAAGGCCCTGGGGAGCATTCTCATTCAGCCACCACACTTGTTCAGGGGCCTCTGTTTGGGTGACAGTCAAGGCTGCTTAGTCTTCACCTTAGGCCTTTCCTGGTACCACTTCTCTTACTTTAGGTAATTCTGGAAACAGAACCTATAACTGGGGTTGGGGTCGGGTAGCTTGAGAATCCAAACAAGAGCCACGGGGATGAAGGGCAAGGGGGGAAGGGAAATCCTTATTTTCTAGCCTAAATTGTGGCCAGTCTCTCTGCTGCTTAGGACCATGCTCATGGAAGTCCTCAGTAAATTGCTCTGCAGCCGTGGGTCTGTGTGCCTCTTTCTTCAGCCTCATGGCACTGTCCACCAGAGATTCGTGTTTCCAGAACAGCCCCCTCTCTGGGCCCACCTAGAAAATGGCCCTGCATCATCACTGATTTGCCCTTAGTGATACCACAAAGGAGCAGGGAGCTAGACCTGGGGGACATTCCGAAAGTCCGGCAGCCTGACTGACAAATGGCGCTGTCACCACCCCGGGGGGGGATATGAGGTCAGGTGTGATCCAGGACTCAGCGCTCCCACAGTTGTTCCCAGATGGCTTCCAAAGCTACCATGGGCCGTGGTGCCGGTGAATCCTGGCGTTGTGTTCTTTGGAAACTTAAAGGTGCCTGTGGCAAGTCCTCGGTGCTTAGGGGATGGCATCCTGTACCCTGGCCTGGTGGGTGCCTGTTGCCTCGTTGCTACCTGTCTTTGTCCACCAGGGTGCAGTGTTCCACCCTGCCTGACAGCTCTGATGTGAACCCCAAACTGGGTTCCTGGGAACTCTGGCTCTTTTATTTCACGTTTCAGCCAGTGGGGGTGTTGGTGTGACTCCACACTGGGTGACAGGTGGAGTTCTGTGCTGTGTGCAAGCATGTGACAGGCGCGCATGTGCCCCTCACACCCCCTTTCAGTTCAGCTCACACTGTGCCCTGCAGCGTCAAAATGACTGCTCCAAGTTCCTTTCCTCTGAGGCCCCGTAGTTATGGATGAAATGTGGAGTTGGGAGGACGCTTGCCCGGGTCACTCTGGGACATGGGCCAGCAACCAGGATGGGGCTCCCTGGATCTGTTGCTTTGTTTCTTTGACACAGGATCTCGTGTAGCCCAGGCTGGCCTCAGATTCTGTATGTAGCAAGGTTCGTCTTGGATTCCCGATCCCCTGGCCTCCGCTTCTCGGCCGCTGCATCCCTGGCACCTGATCTGTTGCTTTCTGCCCTGTGTTTCATACTTAGACACTTCCGAACGGGTCTTGGTGAGCCCAGCGACATTGCTGTTGAGCTGGTGTGTGTGCCTCCCCTCCCTCCAACCCCCTGCCTCACAAACAGTCTCCACTCCTGAACATCTGTGGGCTCCAGATGTGGCGAGCAGAGCCGTAGTAGGAGATAGGCCTGTCAGTGACTCCCTTAGCTTGGTCACCCTGTGTGCTGGGCCGAGAAGTGGCTTGTTTGATACCCCAGAAACTGATTAAGTCTCCCATTATGCAAGATAAGTGGACAGAAAATCACCTGCCCCACCCACGGTCCACGTCTGGAAAAGGTCTGTATTCTCATGGGGTCCCTTCCTTGCCCTGCAGAATGTCTCCCGGAGGACATTTGAGCTCGACTACAGCCAGGACCGCTTCCTCAAGGATGGGATGCCATTCCGGTACATCTCAGGAAGCATTCACTACTTCCGGATACCCCGCTTCTACTGGAAGGACCGGCTGCTGAAGATGAAGATGACTGGGCTGAACGCGATCCAGATGTAAGGAAGGGCACCCAGCTGAGACACCCACTCCCTCCTCACCCCCAGCTTCACTTCTCCCATATCAGCTATTGCATTGCTCAGAAGTAGGAGAGAGCCCTGTGTGGACCCCTGAGGGGTCCTTAGGGGCTTGACTGGCCTTTCCTCAGACAGCGAACCGCTTCTCATGTGAGCTTTGCCAGCAGAGATCACGAGCTAGAAATCGGCTTGAGGAGGCAAAGGGGAAGGCCAGGGAATGGCTCAGAAGGTGCAGGGGTCTGCTGCTGATCTTGACAGGCTGAGTTCAATCCTGGGGGCCCCAATGGTCAAAGAGAAGAACAGGAGGCCTGCAGGGTGTCATCGGATCTAGTGTGCGTGTGTGTGCATGTGTGGAGATGTAGGCAGGTTATAAGGAACTTCTGGAGAGTGCAGAGCACTTTTGGAAGAGTAGGTCTGTTGGAGGCAAATGTCATATTACTGTAGCTCCTAAAACCTAAGTTTCTGCCAAGGTCAGGTCTTTGGCCAGAGGTTCGGTGAGGGAGTCTGGAGGCAGCAATGGCTGTTTTTGGCGTGGAGGGAGTGGGCCTTGTGCTTCAGGGTTTTGGAACCTGGCCCGTCTTACCAGCTGATACTTTGAGCCAGGCTGCAGGTCCACATCAACAGGCATGTCCGCCGTCTCCTCTGATGCTGGGAGCTGACTGACTGGGAGGAGAGTCAGGCTTTGCAGAGCTGGTGTAGATTGTTGATAACATCTTAAAAGATAAAGGGTGAGAAAGCCTTAGTCGGTTTGGTAGAGACCGAGGGGGTGTCCCACTTATTATTCTGTTTCTATGGCCCCTGGGAGAGAGGATGCCAGTTCACTTAAGTAGCTGACACACCAGGTTCCAGGAGGCTCTGGCTGACAGTGCCAGGGAATCCTGGAACCACGGGACCTGGGAAAGAGGGCGCGGGTAGAGCTCCTCAGCAGGACTGTGGTGCTGAGAACGGTGGCTCAGGTGCAGGTGTGTTTCTCCACCAGGTTGAGTTTGAGTCATTCTATTCCTGACAAAAATCTTGTGTCTTGGAGTGGTTGGAGATTTTCTTGTGGTTTCGTTTTCAGTGCTGAGAGCCAAATTCAGGCTTTTTGCACATGCTGGGCAAGAACTATATGACGGGGCTACCGAGGTCTTTAGGCTGGGTAGGGATTTTATTTTTGTTCTATTTTTTCTTGTTATAGATGTTTTGTATACCTGTATGTCTGCCCACCATGTGCACGCAGTACCTTTGGAGGCCAAAGGAGGGGGTTGGATTCTCTGGAACCGTAGTTACAGAAAGAAGACTGAGCGGCCACGTGGGTGGGGACCAAACCTAGCTCCTCTGAAAGAGCAGCAAGTGCTCTCAACCACTGAGCCATCTCACACACATCACTTAAAGATTGTCTCTCTATGTCTCTCAGGCTAATCTAGGACTCACAGTCCTGCCTCAGCCTCCTGAGTGCTAAGCACCACACACCAGGCCTGGCTTTTATTAAAGTGTTTGTTTTTGTTTGTTTGTATATGAGATGGGTTCCTCTGTGTAGCTTTGGCTGTCCTGGAACTCTTATGTAGACCAGGCTGGCCTTGAATTCACAGAGATCCACCTGCCTGTGCCTGCAGGGTGCTGGGATTAAAGGTGAATAATGCTATGCCAGCTATTTCTTTGTCTGTTTGTTTATCTTTCAAGTAGAGTCTTATGTAGCCCAGGCTACTCTCACATTTAGTGTGTAGCCCAGGCTGGCCTTTAACACCTTATTCTTCTACCTCTGCTTCCCAAGTGCCACTGTACTCTGCTTAACCTTTATTTTTTAAATACAGATATCTCGTATTACTTTAATTAGGGTCTATCCTTTTTTTTTCTTGTTAAAGTTTCCAGTGTGCTGGAATGTATTTTATTCTTTCTGTCACAGTTTCTGTAGAGTGTTGGCATAGAGGGCTGTGTTGGGACTCCATGTTACGGCCTGTGCCTGGCATTCAAGGGCTGTGTTCCATTCTCACTGTGACAAACTAGCCGGGTAGAAAGTGAGGCCAAAGGGGAAACTGAGGAAGAGAGGTGGACAGGGCTGGCCAAGAAACCTCCCTGAAATAAATCCATCCGGGCGGATAAAGCTGGTAGAGCAGCTGCCTTTGTATGAAGATTGTTTGTAACCCTGCCAGCCGCAAACAAAAACAAACAAAACTACACAGGCATCTCTATTCTCACGATCTTCCCCGGACACCAGTCAGTAAGCAAAAAAGAACAAAAGAGGCAGGAGTGGCCAGCTGGACCGTCTCCAGGGTGCTGAGAGGGGGTGCACCGGCCTCTTGCTCCAGGCAAAGTTCGGTGTCTCCCACCCAAGTACTAATCTGACCCAGCTCTACTTAGCTTCCGAGACCACCTGCCACTCCCAGCGCAGTCGTGGCCATGCCTGGGTGTTCTCAGCAATACTCCCACTCCTTTGTACAAGTCTTTTTTTTTTTTCTTTATTACACTGTATTTACTGTGTGTGTGTGTGTGTGTGTGCAAGTGTGTGCCCCAACAAGTGTAGGGAGGACAGAGGACAACATATAGAAGCTGTCACTCTTGGGGGTTCAGGGATTGAACTCCTGGGGTCAGGCTTGGCAGCAGTGCCTTTACCCACTGAGCCTATGCGCTGGGCCACACTTACACCTGTGTTGGCGTATGGTCTTAGAGCCTGGGCTCCCTTCTCTTCCCTCCCGCTGCTCCACTACTGCCTGGGAGGATTTCAGCCATGTGTGACCTCACAGGTACGTGCCCTGGAACTTCCACGAACCCCAGCCAGGACAGTACGAGTTTTCTGGCGACCGTGATGTGGAGCATTTCATTCAGCTGGCTCACGAGCTGGGCCTCCTGGTGATCCTGAGGCCCGGGCCCTACATCTGTGCAGAGTGGGACATGGTGAGTGTGTTGGGCAGAGCGGGTGTGGCAGGAGTGTCGGATGGGGCTGGGGGTGGGTGTCAGGGCAAAGTGGATTAAAGCAGTCTAAGACTGGAAGTCTAGACCATGTGGAGTTGTGGTTATTCCTCTAGGGAGCTGCCAGGCGAAGAGGAGCAGGCTGGAGCCAGAACATGGGGGCTTCCTCTTGGCCATTTATATTGAAAGATCCCCGGAGGGTATCTTCCGTCAGAGAGACCCCCTCCCAAAGAACAACGAGTCCCTTCGGATGCAAACAGCAAGAGGCTTTTATTTTGATACTCGGGTACCCGGGGCGAAAAGTCATTCGGAAGACTTCCGCGCCCCCTAGATGGGAAGCTGGGGTTTTTTATAGGGTTTTAGGGCAGAAGCACTGATACAGAAACGAGAGGGCATGGTTACAGGGGGCTGATTGGTACGTTTACACGAGACCACAATTTGCGTCAAAGTTTGGCAGGGGCACCAAGATTCCAGGAGCTGGGTGGTCAAGGGGGGTAGGATGACCCCTTGACGTGGCCCGCCACCTGTTATTTTGTTTTTCCCTATCTTAGCTGAAACAGTCTCACAGATATCTATGAGAGTGATTAACACAAACTGTTTTTAGTATGACTGGGGCAGCCTGACCACAGATATCCCAAGTGGGTGACACAGCTAGGATTTCTCAGTAATTTTCCAGTTTTTCATCTGGCCTTCAGAGTTTTACAAAACAGTGGTGTCTCACAAAATGGCATTAGCTATGTTTAACTTAGTGTGAGGCTGGGGTCTTTCAATATGAGCTGGGTTCCTCGGTCAGAGTCACGGAGTGGGGTCTGCTTTGTCTGCCTCATGGAGTAGTTATGAAATTAAGAGAAGCTGTGCACATAAAAAGAGCTTTGGAGCCGAGCGTGGTGGTGCACGCCTGTAATCCCAGCACTCAGGGAGGAAGAGGCAGGAGGATCTCTGGGAGTTCCAGGACAGCCAGGGCTACACAGAGAAACCCTGTCTTAAAAAAAAAAAAAAAAGAGGAGGAGAAGGAGGAGGAGGAGGAAGAGCAGGAGCAGCAGCAGCTTTGGGCTGTAGCTCAATGGCAGGGTACTTGCTAGCTTGTACAAAGCCATAGGTCAGTCCCCAGTGCTACAAAACCACACAACAGCAAGAAAAAGAAAATAGAAGAGAAAAGGGGAGGGGAAAAAGAAAGAAAAAGAGGCTGGAGAGATGGCTTAGCAGTTAGAGCACTGGCTGCTCTGTGGTGGCTCACACAGGTGAGTTACAGCCATCTGTAACTCCAGCTGAAGGGGATCTAGTGCCCTCTTCTGGCTTCTGAAGACACTGCATGCGCATGGTGCATAAACACACATGCAGGCAAAACACTCACACACAAAAAGTAAAAAAACAGAACAAATTTTTAAAGAAGAGGAGAAGGGAGAATTTTGCTGGGTGTGCCTGTAATCCAAGCACTTGGGAGGCAGAGGCAGGAGGATCAAAACTCTGAGGCCAGCCTGTGCCCTTTAGGAGGTTTAGCTACACAGTGAGACTCTGTCTCAAAACAAAGGGGGGGGGGGTCTTGATTCTCAGAACACAGTAGAGTGCTACTAATTTTCTTGTATTCCAGATTCCCAGAAGGCCAGGTCATCTCCCCTCTGTCTCTTTCCTCCCTGCTGACAGCAGTCTCCCAGCCGTGTTCATAAAGCGGGCAATCTAATGTTTTTCTGTCTCGTAGGGCGGCTTACCTGCTTGGCTGCTAGAGAAAGAATATATTGTCCTCCGATCTTCTGACCCAGGTGAGTTACTGTTTGCTCCTTAAAAGGATGATAAGAGATTGGGCAGTTTATAGCAAAGGAGTGAGGGTGGAGGGGAAGAGGGAGGAAGGGAGGGCCCACAGCCGGGATACAAAGTGATTAAATTGTACTAAATGATAAATTAAACATTAAAAAAAGAGTGAGGGTTTTGAAAATGGGGCTCCTTCTGTATAGACACTGTTCAGTGGGGTGTAGGTTGCAGGACAGTGAGCTTGGGGGAGACACACCGCTTCCTTTGTAGGCCGGAACAGATCTCGCTGATAAATGGGTCAGTCTTTGAATTCGCAACCTGGCTGGCGGTTAACCAACTGGGTTCAATGCGTGCTTTCTCTTCCTACACACTTAGTGAATTACGAAGCCAGCTAGTCAAAATGTCAGGGTTGTTTCTGGGGTGATGTCACTAGGTTTCTTGATAGCCATGTGTCTTTTATTTCTTTGCCTTTTCAGAGTGGTTTGTAAATGACAGCTTTTTTTGTTTGTTTGTTTTATCCTACCAAGCCATGACAGATTATCTTAGCTGTAAAACCCTAAGCAGTCTTACAGTTGCATCTCTGTTTTCATGCCTGTGTGTATGTGTTAGAGTCTGTGTTTTCCTCATGCTTCTGTTTTATACTCTTACTGTATATTGTTGTTTTTACATGTGTTGCCTCATGAATCTTCCTAAAAAATTTTTTTTAATTCATTTATTTTATGTGCATTGGGTATGTTTTGCCTACATTTATGTCTGTGTGAGGGTGCCAGATCCCTTGGAACTGGAGTTAACTGGAGTCACAGACAGTTGTGAGCTGTCACATGGGCCTGGGAATTGAACTCAGCCAGTGCTCTTAACCACTGAGCCATCTCTCCAGCCTCCCACAACTCTATGAAGCACCTGCCTTTGTCTGTCTCTTTTGAGTTTGTAAGTTTATGGTTTATTAGATGTTAATTTTGTCTGGGTCTGGAGGCACAGGCACCTGCAATCTTTTTTTTTTTTTCAAGACAGGGTTTCTCTGTGTACCCTTGGCTGTCCTGGACTCGCTTTGTAGACCAGGCTGGCCTTGAGCTTACAGAGATCCACCTGCCTCTGCCTCCCGAGTGTTGGCACACTTTTTAAAAAACTCTTATTTATGTTTCTTATCTTTTCCTCCCTACTCCACTTAAATCCCTTCCAATACCCCAACATCAGGTAGGAGAGAGAAAGGGTTAGTGGGAGAGGGGCGCAGTTCTCTTAGCTGCTTCCTTCCAACCCTTCCTGGTTAGGGTTGGTGGGTTCCTTGGTACCAGTCCAATCCTCATTTCAGGAGATCTCCATCTTCTTGTCTCACAACAGCAACCAGGAGCAGCAAGGGGGAAGCAGCAGCAGCCTTGTTCTTTCTCCTCTCCCACTCTCTGGCCTCTGGCCTTTATTCTCTCTCTGGAGTCCTCAGAGCTCCTCTCAGAGCTGGCATGAGGCAAATAGTCTGCTGCTGTGGACCATCTGAGTCAGTCCCACATCCCACACCCGGGATTAAAACAAAACCATTTTCATATCCACAACATTCAAGTGCTGGGATTAAAGGAGTACACCACTGCCCCTGGCTCCCCACCTGTAATCTTAACTTGGGAACTGGAGGCAGGCAGATCAGGATTTCAAGGTCTTCCTTACCTGCGTTTTCGTCTAGCCTGCGCAAGAGGGTGTTGGATGCCCTGGCAGTGGAGTTAAAGACAGTACGAGGCACCATGTGGGTGCTTGGAATTCGGCCTAACACGCTCTACCTGTAGACGTGACGTTCTACAGAGGAGCCTCCTGCCCCCACAGATGCTGGGATTACAGGCGTGCTCGTCCATGTCCAGTGCTGGGGACGAAAAGCCGGGGCCTGGGGCATGTCGGCTCCCACCCTCCCCTCAGTGAACCTAATTTTAGAAGAGAAATGCCCCTTCTGTGTTTAAGAGGAGTACTCAGTATCAGTACTGCTCTGTGCCCATCACACAGTGCCTGGTCACCTGTGCTTCCGGCTCTGAGCCCCCTGGCAGGGTAAGCTGCCTGGCGAACTACGACCTCAGGATTGCCAGCTTGCAGGACCATGTGCAGCGGGCGGTGGCTGCCTCGTTGCAGAAGAGTCGAGGAGGGCAGTGTGTCCTGGGCCAGGCTGCACTGGAGCCCCCTGGCTTTGAAAGGCTGGGGCAGCCACAGTAGCCTAGACGGCTTGAGTTTGATCCCTGAAGCCCACTGTGGGACTTGTCCTCCTGCGCGCACACACTCATACACACACACAAACGAAAGCACAGAGGACCTCACAAGCACGTGAACACACAAGCATGCACACACTGTTGTAGCTAGCTGGCACAGGTGAGTGACCGCTGCCTCGCGGTCTTGTCTTGCAGACTACCTTGCGGCTGTGGATAAGTGGCTGGCAGTCCTTCTGCCCAAGATGAAGCCTCTGCTCTACCAGAACGGAGGGCCCATCATAACCGTGCAGGTACTGGAGCTGAGCCAGGCATGATGGGAGGAGGGGGGAGGGGAAGGGGGAAAGGGGGGAAGAGGCAGCTGTCCATCAGCTGCCTCTGTAAATGACAGCAGGGACGCCAGAATGCAGCACTGAAAATGACACTTATTGAAATTGACTTTGGGGGAAGTAGAAACCTGTCTCTTCTCTCTCTCCTCTTCCCTCTGTCTCTGTTTCTCTCTGTCTCTGACTCTCATCTCTCTGTCTCTCTCTAACTCATCTCTCTGTCTTTGTCTCTCTGTCCCTCTTTCTATTCCTCTCTGTTTCTGTGGCACTCTCTCTCTCTCTCTCTCTCTCTCTCTCTCACTCTCACTGTCAGACAGGGTCTCATGTATCTAAAGCTGATTTCAAACTCTCTGTACCTGAGGACGACCTTGAACTTCTGATCCTCCTGCCAAACATCTAGAGTGCCGACCTTACGGGCATGCACCACCACACCGGCTTTCTGTGGTGTTGGGGACTAAACCCAAGGCCTTGAGCAGGCGAGGCTCCGCAGGTGAGCCGCACCCACAGCCCAGGATCTACCTCCAGAATCACACATGTCCTATGTGCTTAATCACACCAAAACCAAAACAATTCCAGGACACAACTGCAGCCGGAAAAACAAGCAGTTTTGTTTCTTATTTCATTTTGCTTTATTTAAAAAATTTGGATTACTTATTTTTATTTTGTGAGTATGAGTGTTCTGCCTGCATGTGTGTGTGTGCCTGGTGTCTGTGGAGGTCAGAAGAGGGCATTCGGTACCCTGGGGCTGGTGTGATCAATGCTTGTCAGTTGCCCTGTGGATGCTGGGGACTGAACCCGGGCCCTCTGCAAAAGCAACAGGTGCTCTGAACCACTGAGGCATCTCTCTAGCCATCACTTTTGGAAATCTTACATGCACTTGTGTGAGTTTCTGGGTAGTGCATGCCTTTGGGAACTCCAGTCCAGGAGGAGGTTATTATATCATATCCTGGGACATGATACAGATGGCCTAGAGCCGCTGGGTACTGTGAATCGAACCCGGGTCCTCTGGAAGAGCAGCCGGTGTTCCTGACCACTGAGCCATCTCTCTGGCTCCTTATGCTGCCTTTTTTTTTTTTTTTTTTTTTTTTTTGGTCCTCAAGGCATGGTCTCCCTACATGGCTCCCTTTCTGTCCTGGAACTCACCACGTAGATAGGCCAGCCTTGCTTCATCAGACTCACAGAAATCCGCCTGCCTCTGCCTCCCAAGTGATGGAATCAAAGGTACATGCCACCACGCCCAGCTCTATCAGTGCCCATGAGTATCTGCCTCTGTCCTGAGTGTCCTGCCAGTGCTACTCCGTTCTTCCAGGCACCACCTTATAAATGAAGACGTTCAAAGAAGGGTCTGGAGAGATGACTCAGCAGTTAGGAGCGCTGGCTGAGTGCTCTTGCAGAGGACCTGGGTTTGAGTCTCAGCACCCACTCGGCATCTCACAGCCATCTGTAACGTCAGCTCCAGGGGATCTGATGCCCTCTTCTGGCTCCTGTGGGTACTGCACACTCATGGTGCACATCCATACTTGCATGCGAACACCCATACACATAAAAGAATAATAAAAAAGTTCAGAGAGGCTCAGTGACCTGGCCAGGTTGCCTAGCTGGCAGGAGGCAGCACCGCAAGCACCTGCTTCTCCTCTTGCCCTCGTAGTGGGTCTTCCTTAAGTAGTAAGCTTGGGCTGGAACTGACGGAAAGGCTTCCTCACCTGGCAAGTGCAGGTGACTGGGATGGTTTTTCTCCCACTTCCTGTCTCGATCTTCTTCCGTGTGCTCTAGGCCCTGCAAAGGTGCATAGCTCTGGGTGCACAGTACACCCCTGACTGGCAGCAACTTTCAGCATAAGAGATCGCCTAGGTGAAACTTGAAGCCTGGTTCAGCGGCCACTGGCCAAGCAAGAGTCTGCTGACATGAACAAAGCTGTGGGGAACTGCCTGGGTCCTGGACGCCAGGGGAATGAAGTGTGGCCCTCTCTGGGGACTATGGTTCAGATTCCGGTTTATGGCGTGCTATAGGGATGAGTCCTGAGGGAGTGCGAGGGAGCGGAGCCCGTGTGGGTGACATGAGGTGACGAGGTGGCTGAGTGGGTCAGGGGTTCATGACGAGGGGCCAGGTGGCTGCTCATTGAAAAATATAACTCCTGACCCCTGGGTGCTCCTTATCTCTTTATTCAGTTAGAGTCTGCACCAAGAGGCCACAGCTTCCTGTGTGAAGACAGTGAGTCTGAAACCTGGGCATATGTCTGATCGGTGCAACTGGATCTAGTGTGTGTGTGTGTGTGTGTGTGTGTCTGTGTGTGTGCACGCATGCACACACTCACACAGGCATGTCTGTGGAGGCCAAAGGAAGATATGGGGTGTCCTGCGTCATCACTCTTTACCTGATTCCTGAGACAGGGTCCTCAGTGAACCTGGAGCTGGTCCGCAGCCGGGAAGCTCCAGAGCCCCTGCTGTCTCACCACCCTGCCCTAGCACTGAGGTTACATGTGCACGTGGACATGCCTGGCTTTTCACATGGGTCCTGAGGGTTTGAACTCCTGTCCTCATGGTTGGGCGGTAAGCAGTCTTACCCACCAAGCCATCTTCCAGCCCTGTGGAGCATCCTCCTTTGACCTGGTCTTGGGTGAGACCCACCGGTGAGCTTCCTTGTTTCAGTCCTCACTGCATCCTGAGTCACTTTCAATTTCCGCTCACAACTTTGTGGTATTTTTTGGTTAAAGAAACTTCATAAAAACTAAATGATCCAATACGGGACATGGTGACACTCACTTAAACCCCAGCACTCGGGAGGTAAGAGATAGGGGATCTGGATTTTGAGGTCAGCCTCAGGTGCCTATGAGTCCTTGGCCACCATGAGCTGCCTGAGACCTTGTCTCAGAAGCCAAACTGAAGACTTTTTCCAGTCAGTCGATATGAATGCAGGATTGTTTTAAGCAGGATTCCTGAGAGGTGTGAGCTAGCCTGGTCTACATAGGGAGTTCTAGGGGTACATGGTTCGGGGTCCTTGCTGCACAAAGAAAGAAGGGAGGGTGCAGTGAGATAGCTCAGAGGGAAAGGCGCTTGCTGCACGGGTCCGGCAGCCTGAGTTCCCTCCCAGAGCCCATGTGAAAGCAGGAGAGAACTGACTGCACCAAATTAGCCTCTGACCTCCGCAGGCATCCCATGGTACTCTTGCTCCCCCAGCATATGCGAACACACACACACAAACACACTATAAATCAGTGTTTTTACAACCAAGAAATAACACACACACACACACACACACACACCCGATTTAACGCTGCAGAAGACAGCAAACCTGCATGGTTAGGGGGAGTTTCTTGTCCTGTCCATCTTTCCAGGACCTTGTCCTGGTCCCTCTCTTCACCGCCCCCCCCCCCCGTTCACTGAGTTAACAAGCAGAGAGTTAACAAGAGTTAACAAGCAAACTACACTAAAGCAAAACCCATGTGCCTGTCACCCTGACCTCAGGAGCCAGAAGCAAAGCACGCCATACTTCAGGCATTTTCTTAAAGACATTTCTATCTCCCCCTTTCTCTTCCTTTCTGGAGCTTATAGGATGTGACTTGTTTCCTGTGTGGTATTTTCACTTCGTTCACACGTCAAAGGCCTTTTTTTCACACCTACAGTTCTTTGTACACAGTTGGTTGTTTCCAGACTTGTATTTCTGTTTATTTTATTTTTTTAAGGCATAGTTACCCTGTGTGGCCCAGACTGTTGTCAAACCCGGCGATCCTCCTGCCTCTGCAACCCTGGTACTAGAATTATAATTGTGGTTCACCATGCCAGGGCCCACCAGCCTCTAACTCAGGACTTGGCTGAAGTTGACCTTGAACTCCTGGCTCTCCCCCATCAATCGCTAATTAGGAGAATGCCTCACAGGCTTGCCTGCCTACAGCCTGATCCTATTGGGGCATTTTCTCAATTGAGACCCCCCTCTCTCTGGTGACTGCGGACCGGACCAGACAGTGTTCTTTTGGGGGGAGCCGGGGAGCCCAGAGGAGGAGCTGGTCACTATGGGGTATACTGTGTGTGTGTGTGTGTGTGTGTGTGTGTGTGTGTGTGTGTGTGCGCCACCGCACATATATGGAGGTCAGAGGACAAGGCTCAGGATTGGATTCATTGCATACTCCAGGCTAGGGTCAATCTCCTGTCTCTGCTCACCCCCTAACCTCCTCCCAGCCTGTACACCCTCCCTCCGCCACCCCATCCTGCCCTGGGAGAGCTGAGATTATAGATGTGGGCCAGCCGCCCCGTCCCACTTTTTACGTGAATCTCAGCCTGTGTACCTAGCTCCTTTACCAAGCCCTCTCCCGACCTGTTTTGACGGGCAGACATGAGACATGCAGGCTTTTCTCTGCTGTGTATATCCTGTCCCACAATGCATCTGGCTTTGATCATGTGTACATCCAGTTATGCAAATGTGTAAGGTTGCAAACAGGGGGCTTTCCCTTGAAAGCTCACTTGGGGGACTCGGCTTACGTTAGTGCGCCCGTCGTCCCAACTGGTTCCGGCTGGATCTGGGGTATGTTCTGGATGTGTGAATGTGAACCAGGAGTTTCCAGGGGTTGCTAAGGCTGCCGTGGCAGCTGCTGATTTCTCATTCTTCGTTCCGAACACACAGGTTGAAAATGAGTATGGCTCCTACTTTGCCTGCGATTACAACTACCTGCGTTTCCTGGCACACCGCTTCCGCTTCCATCTGGGCGATGAAGTCCTCCTCTTCACCACCGATGGGGCCAATGTAAAATCATTGAAGTGTGGGACCCTGCAGGGCCTCTATGCCACAGTGGATTTCGGAACAGGTCAGTGTTGGTGGCAACTAGAAAATGCCGCTGATCATTGGGTTTTCACTCAGTCACCCTCAGCGCAGCTGTTGCTTAAGTGGCCTGAGCAGCTAGAATGAGATGGGGGGGGGGGGGTCCTAGTTAGCTAGTCAGCTTTGCATTACTGTAGCAAAATGCCAGAGGCAATCGACGTATAAAGAGGGAAGGTTTTGTTTTAGTTCACAGTTGTGGAGGTTTCATTCCACAGTCTGTTTGTCTTGTAATAAGAAGAGAATGCCTCTGGGAGCATATGATAAAGGAGACCCATTTACCTCATGGCCTGAAATCTCAAGAGAAACAGTAAGAGATGGGACGGCCACCGTCTCTTTCAGGACATGTCCCCAGTAACCTAAAACCTCTTTCTTTTTTTTTTTTTTTGAGACAGTTTTTCATCGCTTAGACTGGCGTCTTACTCATGGTATAGCCAAGGACGGCCTTGAACTCCTGATCCCCTTACTTGCAAGTGCTGGGGGGGGGGTTCTAGTTGTGTGCCACTCCTACCCTCAGCACCTTTACACTGTTCTTCCACCACTATACAAGAACCAGGTGATGGGCCAGAAGACGTCTCAGTGGGTGAGGGTGATTTTTGTAAAGTCTGATGACCAGAGGTTGACTCCTGGGACCCACATGGTAGGAGGAGACAGCTGACGCCTACAGGGCGTCCTCTGAGCACCGAGAGCATTCCTTAGCACGTGCTCACTCACACGTGTGTGCTCCCACACATGTGCACACAGCACAGGCGCACACACACACAGAGTAACCAAATAAAAATGTGAGGAAAAAACAGGTGTCGCTGGTGCACACCTTTAATCCCAGCACTCGGAAGGCAGAGGCAGGCAGAGCTCTGTGAGTTTGAGACCAGCCTGGTCTACAGAGTGAGTTCAAGACAGCCAGGGCTACACAGAGAAACTCTGTCTCGAAAATCCAAAAAGAAAACAACAAAAGAAAACAGAAATGACAGAACAGGCTGGAAGTAGTCTTAGTAGGTAAGAGCACTGGCTGCCCCTGCAGAGGACCCAGGTTTGGTTCCCAGCCCCCACCTGGAGGCCCACAGGCATCCGTAACTCCAGTCCTAGGAGATGCAATGCTGCCTTCTGACCTCCATGGGCACCCACACAGATATACAAACACACACATAAATAAAAATAATGTTTTCAGTGAGAGTTCAAGGCTAGTTTTGACTGTGTAGCAAGTTCAAGGCCAGTCTGAGAGATCGGGCGTGGATACAAATTTTTGTTGTTGTTGTTGTTGTTACTGTTTTTTAAGACAGGGTTTCTCTGTGCAGCTCTGGCTGTCCTGGAACTAACTCTGAACTCATAGAGATCTGCCTGGCTTTACTTCCCAAGTGCTGGATTAAAGGTGTGCAGCACCATGCTCACTCTAAAACAAGCAACTTTTTAGGGCATGGTGGTGCAGAACTGTAATCCTGATACTCTGGCCCCAGGGGGGCAGGAGGATTGCTTTGACTTAGAGGCGAACTACAATAGACTACGTTATAAATTCTAGACTAGGAAGACTACATATTTAGACCCTGTTTCGAAAGATTCACACACAAGGGAGATAGAGAAGATGGCTCAGAGGTTAAGAGCACTGGGTGCTCTTCAGAAGGCCCCAAGTTCAATTCCTAACAACCACTTGGTGGCTCACAACCACCTATAATGAGATCTGGGGCCCTTTTCTGGCCTGCAGGTGTACGTGCAGACAAAACGTTGTATTCATAGTAAATAAATCTTCAAAAATTGAACAAAAAAAAAGAAAGAAAAATTTTTTATAAAGAGAGTCCACAGCACAAAATGAGAAGGGGGAGGGAAGCAAAGGGAGGTTGGAACCGTAGTCTGAGTGGCTGAGGTGCACAGATTATCTTCACAATAGTATTTGTTCAGCAGCGAATTAGAGTGGCCTTGTCTCCTTGTACCTGCTGATTAGCTGGTAGCTATCTGGACATCGCTGTTTTGTGTGGACAGTGCTGTGGACAAGGACGGTGTCTAGAGAAGACCGGTCCTGGCAGGGAGCAGCTAGGTCAGCCACTGACTAAAGACAGACATGGGGGACCGCCGGGGACAGAAAGGCACAGCTTAGAGAAGGCAAGACTTGTGAGCTCCCTGGGCAGGCACTCAGCCAAAGCCACGGAGCCCGCTCAGGGAGACAGCAGTGCTATGCGGCCTCCACACATGCCCCACTAGGTGGGGCGGGGCCTCCTAGAGCCCGTTCATCCCACGGGTCTTTCGGGTCTTTCGGCCTGTAGAACTCCTGTGGGTTAGGAAGATGTCTGTGCTGCTCACGTCTAGAGATTACAAAAAGGGAAAGAAGCAGGTCGGGGAGGCGGGAGACGGCCTCACTCCGTTCCAGCTGCTAATATTCCCATTGCTGTTGACAGGGCTGTAGTCTAGGCTGCCCTCAACTCCCTTCAGAGGTGAGGAGAACCTTAAACTTCCGATACTCTGGCCTCCTCCTCCCCAGCGCTGGGATTGCTCAGGCATGCGCCATCACCCCAGTTGGTGTGCGCTGGGCCTGAGCCCAGGGCCTTGTGTGTGCTCCCAGCTGAGCTACGTCTGCAGCCCAGTTTGGGTTTTTCCAGCAAATTAACGGGCCACGCATGTGGGCACATACCCGAGCTCTTGGCACTCTGAAGGCTGAGCTCCCACAGGTGCCATGTTGATGAGGCCTCTCCTGCAGTTCCGAGGATCAGTTTCTTGTTGATTCCTTACATGGCAGGAAGGGATGGCAGCCCTCCTAGATGATAAGGGATTAAATGCCATTAATTTATAACAGGGGAAGGGGAGGGACTGGCTGAGTCACTTCCTGAAAACACGTCCTTGAAACAAATTTTCTCGTGTATTTCTTTTTATTGGGGGAGGGTACTCAGCAGCCATAGGCACATGTAGAGGTTAGGGGAAGATGGTGGGAGTCGTTTTTCTCTTTGTACCGTGTAGGTCCTGGCGATTGAAATGGGGTCATCAGCGTTGGCGAGCACCTCTGCCATTTGAAGCCAGCTTGCAAGCCCTCCACTTCCTATACGTTCATATCTGGGATCAGAGTCCAGCTTGTGAAATCCACACCAGGGACCTCAGCAGGCTGTTCAGCTTCTTATGCCTGTCTTTTCTTCCCCCTCTTGTTATTTCCAGGTAGCAATTTCACAAAAGCTTTCATGATCCAGAGGAAGATCCAACCCAAAGGACCTTTGGTAAGAACCGGGGGTTCGGTGTAGAGACCCGGACTATCAGGCTTGTACTGATGCATCACAGATCCTCCCAGGGGAGGAAGCAGACTGCAGGAGAGGGTGTGTCCATCTTTGGGGTTTTCTTTTTTGTTTTTTGACTCTGGGGGCAGCAGCTGATGGGACTTAGGGGTGATAGAGCCCATCTTACCTCTCGAAGTGTCCTCGTTTGAAACTAAAGCTCTGCCCTGGAGATGCACGAAGAAAATAACCGTGCCTGGCCGGGGCGGTCTTCAACTCAGTGTGTGGGGAGGCTTAAACTCCTGAGCCTCCTGCCTCCCACCTCTTCCCCTCAGGCACAGGGAATAATCGTGCACTGCCATGCCCAGCTTTATGTGGTGAATTGAACCCAGGACTTCGTGCATACGAAGCTGGTGCTCCCCTGACTGAGCCTGTCTAGCTGAGAGTCTTGACTCTTAACTCTCCAGAGCTTCTGGTGGAAATCGGGGATTTGTTCTGCTGGGCCTGGGTGGACCTGATGGTCTGTTTCCCTCAGAGCAGCCAGGAAGCAGCAAAGTTGCAGTCCTGTTGGGAGAGACGGGCAGGGGCCTCCATCTGGCCTGCATTCTCAGTTCTTCCCTCTTGGCTGCTGCAGCCGCCAGTGTCCGTAGTCCACTGAGCCCAACAAGCCTTATCTGCAAGACAGCTCAGGTGGGCGGAGCTGTTTCATAGAACCTTTCCAGGTTGCCTTTTTCTATTCTGATGTTGAGCTAAGTCGCTTGTGAACAGATGGGCTTCATATTAGCTGGTGGGCCTCAAGATCAGTATTCACACAAACAGTGAATTGTGTGTAAAGGATGAATTTGGGGCTTTTTTTTTTTTTTTTAATGGTATAAGGTGTTAAGGGGAGCCCACCAGAGGTACCCATGAGACAAAGTTTATACCCAGTTGAAAGTCTTTATTATAGCTAGCTAGGACTACACTCAGCTATTGGGGACCTAAGTGTAGCCCCACACATTTAGACCAAGGCAAAAACCAAACCCATTCTCTTGCTCAGCAGCTGCAAGGGTAGGTTTGCTCAAGCAAGCAGTTTTACAGAAGCCAAGATAAGTTATCTGGGACATCTTGGCCTCAGAGCCTAGAATAGAGCTGGGTAATTTTCCACTGGATTCTTCATTGAAGAGATCAGATTCTAGTTAAACCTAAAATGGCCTCAGCAAGAATACAAGATTGTCCAGGTGGTGGTGGTGGCACACCGGAGGCAGAGGCAGGTGGATCTCTGTAAACTCAAGGCCAGCCTGGTCTATAGAGTGAGTTTCAGGACAATCAGTGCTACACAAAGAAACCCTGCCTGGAAAAACAAAAACAAAAAACAAGATGGAGGAAACTCTGTCTGGCCGTGTCACACAGGGATTGAATACAGAGCTTACACATGCCAGGCAATTTCTGTACCACTGAGCTGTATCCCCAGCCCTTGGGTGTTTGTGTTTCATTTCCAGGGTAGTCTTGCTAGGTAGCCTCCAGTTGGTTTCAGATTAATTATGTAGCCCAGGATGACTTCTCCTGCCTCAGCTTCCCAAGTGCTTGGCTTATAGTTATATACCACCATGCCCACCCCAACTGGAGGTATTAATTATTCATGAAAATGCCTTGCCTGACTAAATGTTTTGGTGTTGTGAGGAGGGGGCAGAGAAAGTGGAAAGTGGAAGCAGCTGACAAAACCAATGTAGCTAAAAAAACTTTTAGGAATCAGTGACGGATAGGGAAATCTGTATATGTTCAGTACTGATGCAAAGTTTGCCCCCCCCAAAAAAAAAATTCTTTTTGTGAGGAGGCGTAGAGAGAGAGGAAGAGACTGGGAGGGGAGGTGGGAAGGGACTGCAAGGATATAAAGTGAATAAAATAAATAAATGAGGAAAGAAAACTTAAAATATATAGCTTTCATGTAGACCAGGCTGGCCTCCAGCTCACTATATAGCTAAAAATCAGCTTGAATGTGTAATCCTCCTGCCTTCACCACCTGAGTACTGGGTTTACGGTGGGCACCACAACACTCATTTTTTGCAGTGCTGGGGATGGAACCCAGGGCTTTATTCATGCTAGGCAAGCATGCTGCCAGCTGAACCACGGTCCCGGATGTTTCCGACTGGCGGTGGGTTGGATCTGCAATGCAGAACACACACATTTGGAGGGTCGGCTATACTTGTATTGTGTAAGGTGAGAGGTCACAATTGGTTAGGGCACAGAGGCCCAGTATAGATGCTGTTGTAGTTGGAGGTCCTCATGGGACCCTCTCACCTCTGGATTAAGCATGTATATCAAGCTCTCTTACCACCCATTCACTGGAGACATAGACAGGGCATTACAGGGACACCTCAGCTTCATTTGAAGGTCATAAGTGTCTCCTAAGCACCACCTCCGTTTTCCCTTTTCAGATCAACTCTGAGTTTTACACTGGCTGGCTCGACCACTGGGGTGAGAGGCATTCTACAGTGGAGGCTAAAAAAGTGGCCGCCTCCCTCTATGATCTGCTCGCCCTCGGAGCCAGCGTGAACATGTGAGTGGGCAGTTGGGGGAGAGGGAGCCCTACAGCTCCGGCTCACAGTGAAGGCGTGTGTTCTCTTATTTCTCTGTAGGTACATGTTTATAGGTGGGACCAATTTTGCCTATTGGAATGGTAAGATCCACTTAACAGCCACTGGTAAAAGCTTGTTCTGTTTCTCTGGCGTGATGTGGGAGGTGGTGTCTATGGCCAGTTTTCATTTTCTGTTTTCGTTTGTCTTCTAAATTTTCTGACATGTAAGAATCTCCAGCCCAGGGATGCTGGCACACACCTGTAATCCCAGCACTCGGGAGGCAGAGGCAGGCAGATCTCTGTGAGTTCGAGGCCAATCTGGTCTATAGAGCGAGTCCAGTACAGCCAAGGCTACACAGAGAAACCCTGTCTTGAAAAACAAACAAAAAAATCACCTATATAGGGGCTGGAGAGATGGCTCAGAGGTTCAGAGCTCTGGCTGTTCTGCCAAAGGTCCTGAGTTCAAATTCCCAGCACCCACATGGTGGCTCACAGCCATCTATAGTGAGATCTGGTGTGCAGGTGGACATGCAGGCAGAATTACTGTGGGTGTGCACACATGTGGAGGCCAGGCACCACCTCACCGGCCAGTCCTCAGGCATCAGCTGTCTTTTTTATTTTGTAGATAAGCTCTCTCACTGACCTGGAACACGTACCAAGTGGACTAAGCTGGCCACTGAGCCAAGGGATTCTCCTGACTCCCCATCTCTCTCTCTCCCTCCCTCTCTCTCTCTCCAGTTACTGTATACATTTATTGATGTGTATGCGGGGGTCAAAGAACAGCTCATGGGAGTTGGTTCTCTTCTTCCAGCCTGTGGATCCTGGGGACCCAACACGATAGTCAGGCCTGGCGGAACATAGTTACCCCCGAGCCATCTCTCTACTCCCATTTTGTTTTTAAAAACCTAAAACTGACAGGTTTGTTATTGTTTTGTTTTTCTTAGCCCTGGCTGCCCTGGACTCGCTTTGTAGACCAGGCTGGCATCGAACTCACAGAGATCCGTCTGCCTCTGCCTCCCCGAGTGCTGGGATTACAGGGTGCGCCACCACGCCCGGCAAGCTGATGATTTTAAGTCACTATTTTAAATGTTCTCAAAGTAGTAAGGTTCTTGCCCTCTGCTTCCGGAACATTCTCCCACCCACTTGAAAGAAACTCCACGCTCATTCGCGCTCACTGCCCGCTCCTCCCCACAGCCCCTGGAGGTCACTAAGCTCCTTCCCAGGGACTCCCCTACTCTAGAGACTTTGTATAAACAGAACCGTATGCTGCACAGGTTTTAATCTTATTCCTTTCCCTTGGCCTAATAGCTTCAAGGCTCACCCATGTTCTGTCATGTATTGAACACCTTATTTTTGTCACTAAGTGGTATTCTAGGGTTGGTGATAGAGCTCAGTTGCTAGGGTGCTCGCCTGGCGTCTCACATTTGCACCCCGTGCACAGGCCCCACACCATGGTACACGTTTTTAATCCCAGCCCTTGGGAGGAAGAGGCAGGAGAATTGCCACAAGTTTGAGGCTAGCTTGGTCTACATAGTGAGTCCTAGGCCAGCCAGGGTTACATAGTGAGACTCTGTCTCAAAACAAAACAATAAATACATTAAAGAATATAATAATTTTAAAAAAGGTAAAAGCTGCCCTTTGCCCTCCGGTCCCTGCCCCGGCTATGTCAATAGGAATCTGTCTCCTGCCTGTCTTTTTGTTTAGTTTTCTTATCAGGATCATTCAGATTACTGACATCAGTTTACAGATAAGAATATGTGGGCTTCCGATCACCCCAACACTTCCTATTCTGCTGGCAAAGGGCAGAGCCTTTGTTTGAGCCCAGGCCTTAGCCCAAAGCCACTGCCTTCAGATAATCCCCTGCACCCTGTAGGCCCTGGGCGAACCCCAGACCAGCAGGCTTTCCTCTCCAGGCCTCTCTGAAGCTGCTGCTTTTGGCCAGCCTGGCCTGACCTTAACAGCTCTATTTCAGAGCTGCTTCCCAAAGGAGGGACCTGTCCGTTCAACCGTGAGGAAGGTGCATCTGTGTAGTGCTCATCCCTAACTCTGTGTCCACATCTGTGCAATTGATGGCTGTGCGAACTCAGGGAACACAGGGACCTGAGTTCGACCCTAGAGCCCACATTTAAAAGTTCAGGAAAGCAGGATGTGGTGGAGCACCTTTAATCCAAGAGCACTTATTTTGTTGTTTGTTTGTTTGGGGTTTTTTGTTTTGTTTGTTTGTTTGTTTGTTCTGTATAGCACTGGCTGTCCTGGACTCACTTTGTAGACCAGGCTGGCCTTGAACTCACAGGGATCCACCTGCCTCTGCCTCCCTGAGTGCTGGGACTGAAGGTGTGTGCCACCACGCCAGGCTTGGCAGAGTACTTCTTTAGATCTGGTCTATAGAGCAAGTCTCAGGGCTACTAGAGCTCCACAAAGAAACCTTGTCTTAAAAACAAACCACACAGAGATAGAAAGAGAGAGAAAGGACAGAAGGAAGGAAAAGAAAAACTAGGTAGTAGGCCTGGTGAGGGGAACATCTGTAACCCTTGAGCTAGAAAGAGCAGGCAGGCAGGTGGCTATAGCTGATGAGATGCCCTGTCTCCCAGACCAAACTGAGGGCCAGCCAGATGGTCGAGTTGCTAACAGTTCTTGCTGCCCAGCCTAAAGACCTGAGTTTGAGCCTCAGGACCTATATGGTGGAAGGAAGAAAAAACAACAACAACAAAAAAGACTCCTGAAACTGCTCTCCATGTGAGGACCATGGCATATATACAAACAAAAATAATTTACTCATTTCTCCATCCATTCAAAACAAGATGGCTCCTGGCTTTCACATGCATATGAACACATATGTGTGCCTACCTGCACATACGTGTGTACCTGCATGCAAATGTGCACGCATGCACTCACACACACATACAGAACTCGAAAAACTTCTCAGTCTCCAGGAGACCCATTGGAGCCATGTTCATTTCACCCAGACTGTTGCATTGCATTTGTGTCTGAAAGTTACTTTTATTTTTTGTTTGTTTGTTTTTGGTTTTTTGAGACAGGCTTTCTCTGTATAGTAGATTCTTGGCTGTCCTGGACTCACTTTGCAGACCAGGCTGGCCTCGAACTTACAGAGATCTGCCTGCCTCTGCCTCCCCGAGTGCTCGAATCACAAGTGTGCGCCACCGCACCTGGCCTGGAAGTGACATTTGTCAGATTCTGTGGCACACTACACACTGACCGTGCCCCATCCCCCTGCCAGGCTCAGGCAACGTCTGTCTGTGAGGAGTATGAAGCATAGTGCAGATCTAGTCAAATAAGAAAATCCCCTCAGAAGGCAGGTGTGAGGCCAGCCTGGTCTACAAATCGAGTCCAGGACAGCCAGGGCTACACAGAGAAAACAAAAACAACAGCAAAAAGAGCCATCACGAATCGCTTCATTCTCACCTGTGTTCGTGGCAGAGTGCAGTTGAGCTAGAAGGGCAGGGCCCAAACCTTGCTAATTCTAACTGCAGTAGCACAGTTAGAATTCCATCCCAGCACTTCGTAAACCAGTCTTGGTGATACGTGCCTGGGATCCCAGTTACACACCTGGGATCCTAGATACACACCTGGGATCCCAGCGCCTGAGAGACACACCTGGGATCCCAGTGCCTGAGAGACACACCTGTGACCGCAGACACACACTTGTGACCCCCAGACACATACCTGTGGTCACGGGTACACACCTGTGACCCTGGCACTTGAGAGGTAAGAGGGAGATCATCCTTGGCTGCATAGCTTGTTTGAAGCTACCTGGATCTTGTCTAAAGGAAAGAAATGGAAGAAAGACCATCTCCGCTCCCCACCCCACTTTAGGAACCAGGGCAGGGCTCAGATGTTTCTACGGACTCCCTGTGTCTCTTAAGCTTAGATACATTTTTAGAGGGCTGGCCAGGCCTGCACGGAGTCTAACTGAGCACCATCATTGACAAGCTTGGACGTCTAGACCCTGCACTTCAAACAATAATCGAAAGGGAATGCTTTCTCTGGTCATTTTGTGTAGCCAGCCCTGACCCTGTCCTTGTCACAGGTTGAGTTCCGGGGAAGTTGCACTGGTTTTGCGTCTGATAGCGGTGACAAAACACCAGAAAAAAGCAAACATAAGGAAGTGTTCGGGAGCTCCAGGTGGTTGGCCACGTCACGTCTGCAGCCAAGAAGCAGCGAGAGATGGGTGCCGGTGCTCAGCGGCTTCAGTGTGGGACAGCAGATCGGAGGGTGGTAGCTTATTCTGTATCTAGGAAGATCCCTCACCTCAGTCAGCTCACTGAGTCAATAAGGTCAGCCATGGAAGGAGCAGGGCCCTGAGACAGCCAGACAGGACGCACCTCCGCTGTGTCCTCAGGGCAGCCCGTCACCTCAGAGGAGGGACAGGGTGTGGAAGGCGGGTGATTTAGCTCCGAGTGAGGGTGGGGAGGGGATGTGTGATGTAGCTGTGAGCAGCTTCAGCCAGTCCTAAGGAAATCTGGGACAGGGGGGGCAAGGGGAGGAGGTCGTTATGTCCCCAGACGGATCGGCGGTTAGATAGAGGCTTTCCCTCAGGGATGTGAACTGGAGAAGCAGCGGATCAGAGCACTGGCTGCTCTTCCGGAGGATCCCCATTCTGCTGCCAGCTCCCACGTGACTGACTCACAACCATCTAACCCTCCCGTCCCAGGAGACCTGACACCCTCTTCTGACCTGTGAGCTCACGCAAGGTGCACAGACATGCATGTTGTCAGAACACAAATACACACAAAATAAAGTTAAAATGAAAAAGAGCGATTGGGCTTGAACTTCTAATCTTCCTGTTCCTCCTCCCAGACTTGGGTTATAGGCATCCGCTGTCTGCAGTGCTGGGGATGCGCCTGACGAGCTGTGAAAACCGCATCCCAGCTCTCGTGATTTAATGGTCTTTCATTTCTCCTGACCCAGGCCTTCGGTAGTGGCCAGTGACATTTTCTTCCGTCTTCTAGGTGCCAACACGCCCTACTCAGCACAGCCCACCAGCTACGACTATGATGCCCCACTGAGCGAGGCAGGGGACCTCACTGAGAAGTATTTTGCTCTTCGAAATGTCATTCAGAAGGTGAGTCCCTAGAACTCTCCGTGAGAGACTGGTGGCAAGCTTGCCGTGAACTCCTCATAGCTCTGTAGCCGGCTTCCTGCCTGGAACCTTCGTGATGGGGTGGGTGGATGGGGGCATGGACTGTGGTACAGCCATGCTGAGGAAGACCTCATGGGTCTATCAGCAAGGCTCCAGGATGTACCCTTTTCCTGTGAGACCCAGCTTGGGGAACCTAGTCTGAGGAGGGGAGAGCTAAGGAGCCATCCAGGGTGGTTTAGTGACCTAGCATGTACGGCAAGTAGAAGCCAGAAAATGTGTCCTTGTGGTAGCTCAAGTGTGCAGGGAGGAAAATTGGTAAGACAGCACTGTGCAGGGCAGATGCGAGCCATGCAGAGAGGGGTGGGGCGGGGCTGTGTTCTTTTGGGGCCAAGTTTCCGCTATCTGCCTCTGGAACCTCTCCATCCTGCCAGCAGCCAGCCTTTGAAACACCTAAAGTTTTCAGGTGGGGTTTCCTGTCTCTGTGGTGAAAAAAAAAAAAAATGCCCACAGTTTTTTTGCTCAGTCACCTGAGTTTTGAAGTTAAAAAAAAAAAAAAGGTTTTCTGCCTGTAAGTGGTAAAAGTGTCATGTCGTGTAACGTCAGTTTTAAGCATGTCTTGAGATTTGTGTTCGGAAATCTTTTCTTTTGTTTTTGTGGGGTTTCTGTTTGTGTTTTGAGACAGGGTCTCTGCGTACATGAGGTCGGTACTTTGAACCCACAGAGATCTGCCTGCCTCTGCCTCTTGAGAGCAGTGAACCACCACACCTGGCATGGAAAAAAACGTGATATGAACCTTATGTGGTACACGTGTGCAGTCTCCCTTCTGGAGGCGGAGCAAGAGGATCAGGAGTTCAGTCATCCTTGGGTATAGGGTTCAAGGCCAGCCTCGGCTGCCTAAGACAGCGTCTCAAAAAAAAGAGATGTTACCGTACTTTCTAAAACTGTTTGATTCACATTTCTTATGTGAAGGGTGTTTCTCCCTTCCCCACCCCAGTACCTTCCAGCGATAGGTAGGAGAAAAAGAAGGTTAGTGAGGAAACGGGGTGGAGTTCTCTTTAGCTACTTCCTGCTGGTTAGGGTTGTTGGGTTCCTTGGGGCAAGTCTGATCTCCAACTTCTCATCCAACTGCAACAACAGCAACCTGGAGTAGCAGAGGAAAACCCCAGCAGCCTCCTTTCTCAGAGCTCCCCAACACTCTCTGTTTGGGCTCTGGCATTTACTCTCTTTCCAGAGTCCTCAGATTTAAACTATCTGCAGCTGGCAAAGAGCTCCTCTCAGAGCCAGCATGAGGCAAATAGTCTGCTGCTCTGGACCATTTGTCCCACATCCCACACCTGAAACATAACTGAGGTGGGGGTTTTCTGTTTGTTTTTGGTTTGGCTTGGTTTGGTTTGGTATTCTGTTTTTTGAGACAGGGTTTCTCTGTGTAATAGCCCTGACTGTCCTGGACTTGCTTTGTAGAGCAGGCTGGCCTCGGTCTCATGAAGATCCACCTCTCTCTGCCTCCCAAGTGCTGGGATCAAAAGGCCTGTGCTACCACCACCTGGCTGACAACTGAGGTTTGTTTTTTGTTTTTGTTTTTGTTTTAAGATTTATTATTTATTATGTATACATTGTATTGCCTGTATGTGTGCCTGCAGGCCAGAAACGGACACCAGATCTCATGATAGATGGTTATGAGCCACCATGTGGTTGCTGGGAATTGAACTCAGGAACTCTAGAAGAGCAGCCAGGGCTCTTAACCTCTGAGCCATCTCTCCAGCCCACAACTGAGTTTTTAAAGACACCAAAACTTTCCACTACAGAAAGAAAGAAAAAATATATATTCACACCTAAAATTTCTCTTCACTTAAAAACTTTTTTTGAAAGGGGTGTGTGTGTGTGTTCACATGTGTGTAGTAGGTACCTGCGGATGGCAGAAAAGGGCATTAAATCCACTGGACCTGGAGTGACAGGATTGAGGACCACCCTGTGTGGGTTGGTACTGCAAACTGAAAGAGCAGCAAGTATCCTTATCCGCTGGACAGCGTGTCCAGCCCAAGTCATCTTCACTTTTGATACAGATAGATTGGTTTCTACTTGGTATGTGTGTGTATATGTTTGTAAGTAGGTGTGTGTGTCTTCCTCAGTCACTCCCCACCTTATTTTGAGGCAGAGTCTCTCACTGACCCTGGGCTCTCACTGGCCAGGACTCTGTCCATCTCTGGGATCACAGGTATGTGACCCCTCTGCCCTGGTTTTTGTGGGGCTGGGGACTGAACTCAGCTCCTCTTGCTTGCATGGCGAGTATCTGAGCCCCGTGCACAGATTAATTTCAGCTATTTTTTTTTTTATGTAATTTGTCTTCCCCCTTTTCTTGTTTCTCTTCTCTTTATTACTTTCTCTTTGCTTTGTTTGAGGATGTTTCTGTTTTCTTGTTTCCTCCCTCTTGGGGTTGGGAAGTTTTTCTTTCTCTGTGTTTTTGTTTTCTTACCCGGTCAAGTGTGTTATCTATGCCCTTAGAAGAACAGGGCTCCCAAGGCGACTGTATATGCAAAATGAGCAGGATACGGCAGCCAACGCCCAGTGGGAGCCTCCCTGATGCCTTCTGATCACCCTCAGCACCCACCTACCTCTCCTGAGCTAACTGCTGCCCCAACTTCTGTTGCCATCTATTAAAACCACTTGTTTTGAACTTGCTATAAATGGATTCATGTACACCTTAACTCAAGGAGGCAGAAGCAGGAGGATCCCTGTGAGTTTGAGGCCAGCCTGGTCTACAGACCAAGTTTCAGGACAGCCAATACTACATAGAAAAATCCTGTCTCAAAAATCCAGAGAGAGAGAGAGATTCAGAGTCACCCTTGGCTACATAGTAAATTTGGGGCTATCCTGGACTACATGAGACCCTACTTGAAAAAAATAATTTTAAAATGTAATAAGGAGCTGCTGAGATGGTAAAGGCCCTTGTTGTCAACTCAAGTTCAGCCCGCCAGTACCCACAAAACCTAAGCTGGGCATGGTGGCAGATACATGTAATCCCACTTGGGAGGCGGAGGTGAGATCGGGAGTTCAAAGTTATCCTCAGCTACCTTGAGAATTCTCTACTTGGAGTCCTGTTTTAATTAATTTCTTAATTAGTGCCATAGTGGCTGCAGATAATGTTTTAACCCATATAGCTCATTCCTTCGTGGATGATTAAATAGGTATATGTCACAGGTTGTTTTGTCCTAGCTGGTCTTAGCTGCTTGGTACACACAGGCCTCCTGCTGAAGGTAAAGTCTGGACAAAGATTTACAGGCAGAGATGAGAGAGCAGCATGCTGATGGCCAGGGCTGGAGAACTGCCAGAACTCAGGCAGCGTGAGGAAGGAGTCCTGCTTCTAGAATGCCAGGGAAGGAGCCCAACCGTGAAGTGTGGGGAGATGGATGAAGCCAGAGTCAAGTAGAGACGTCTTGCATTCATGTCCTGGGCTAGTGTGACTGACTCGGGGAAGTGAGGGCCGCTGGGAGGGTTGAGCGGAACAGCCGAAGGCTTATGCAGGCTGCAGGAAGAGAGCTCCGGTGACAGTGACGCAGGAAGACCAGTTAGGGACTGTGGTGATGATGGCATGTGAGCACACACCACCAGTCAGACTCAGACCACAGTAGGAAAGTGGAAAGCCGCACGCCGTGGCTCACACCTGTAATCTCCACGCTTGGGAGACTGAGGGTTACCCTGAGGTTGAGATAGTGAGTTCTAGGCCAACCTAAGCTTGCAGCAGTGTGAACTGCTCTTTCCAGGAGGGGCTGGGTGAGGGGAAAGGAAGGCAGGGAGGGTGCAGCCACTCGTGGTTTTCTGTGACAAGTGTGAGGGCAAGAATCAGATGCAAGGCGGCTCAGTGAGTAAAGCATTTTGTGGTCAAGGCTGAGGGCCTGAGTTCGGTTCCCAGTGTTCTCAGATAGCTGTTCCCTGAGCTTCCAGAACTCTGCTTTCTCCATCTCACCAGAGGAGTGTGTGTGTGTGTGTGTGTGTGTGTGTGTGTGTGTGTGTTACACAGGCATGCTGCCGCCTCCCCCTTTCCAAGGATCCCAGTTCAGCACACAGCAACCCTCAGTAGTGGGGTTCAAGGCGTGCCCCCCCCCGAAGGAATGGCTTATTTTAAAACTGTCTGTTTCCCCCAGTGCTGGGGCTCGAACCCAGAGCCTTGCACATCCAGGCAAGCGCTCTCCCACTGAGCAGCATCCCTGGCTTCGCATGGTCTTTCTCATGTAGACATGTAGGCAACCGAGGAGGGGAAGCATCTAGTGAGACGCTCCATGCAGACTTCACCTGACCCCTCCCTCCTCCAGAGTCTCTCCCCGGAGACAGTGTCAAGGGCACCCAGAGCGAAGGGGGACCAGCTCTCCTCTGCTTGGACTCTGGGAAGAAAGGCTTCCCTGGAGGCTGCCTGAGCCCAGGCTCGCTGAGCAAGGTCACGTGGGAGTCTTCAAGGCTTGACAGAACTCCTGACATTTGCATTTCTCTAAGGCATTGTCTTTGGTGTGGGTAAAACTGAACCAGCCCCGGTTAACACTTTGACCATAAAACTGTAGTCGTCCTCTCTCCCGCGTCCTGATGACACAGGCATGGCTTTATTTTTAGGAGCTCTTGAGTGAATCGGTGACCTGTTTAAGCAGTTCGATCCTAACCCTGTGTATATCTGTGTGTGTGAGAGAGAGGGTGTGTGTGTGTGTGTATCTGTGTGTGTGAGAGTGTGTGTGTGTGTATCTGTGTGTGTGAGAGTGTGTGTGTGTATCTGTGTATATATCTGTGTGCGAGAGTGTGTGTGTGAGAGTGTGTGTTTGTGTGTGTGAGAGTGTGTGTGTGTATCTCTTGTGTGAGAGTGTGTTTGTGTGTGTGAGAGTGTGTGACTGTGTGTGTGAGTGTGTGTGTATCTGTGTGTGTGTGTGTGTGTATGAGTATGTGTGTGAGAGTGTGTGTGTGTGTATATATCTCTTGTGTGTGAGAGTGTGTGTGTGTGTGTATATCTCTTGTGTGTGAGAGTGTATGTGTGTGTGTATATCTCTTGTGTGTGAGTGTGTTTGTGTGTGTGTGTGTATCTGTGTGTGTGTGTGAGTGTGTGTGTATCTGTGTGTGTGAGTGTGTGTGTGTGTGTGAGTGTGTGTGTGTGTGTATCTGTGTGTGTGAGAGTGTGTGTGTGTGTGTGTGTGTGTGTGAGAGTGTGTGTGTGTACACGTGTGTACGTTCACACTTGTGAGAGACGGTGGAAGTCAGAAGCGCTGGTCCTCAGCTTCACCTGGTCGTGGAGGATCTTTTGCAGTGTGCCCCTGTGCAGCAGGTCAGCTGTTCCCTGAGAACATCCGGGGACTCTCCCTCTCACTGCAGGGGCGCAGGTGTTACACACGCTTGCTGCTGCTTCCACCCGTACATGGGTCCCGGGTTCCCGATTCAGATCCGCGCATGTCCACAGCCGTCACTTTACCCAGTACGCTGCCTCCCACCTCTCCCTTTGGTGGGAGAGTCCGGTGGGGTTTGGAGGTGGCTGACGGGTAGAACTTATACATGCGTCGTTGACGCAAAGGACCCTGGGGATTCCAAAGGGTGGGCCTGGGGCTAGGAAGACGGCACTTTGGGGGTGAGGCAGGGCTGTGAGAGGAGCGCCTTATCCCCCAGCACGCCCCTTATGTCTAACACCGGACCCCCCAAATGGACCGAACCACCGCAGATGCATGCTGAGTGGGACACAGCCCCCGGTGCCCCTGAGCATGCTCCCCACCTGGGAAATGAGTGCACACCTCAGAGGCTGACTGACTCTGGGAAGTTATTTGCATTTTCTTTTAATTTCCTTTTCTTTGTTGTGGTGCTATGTGTTTGTTTGCTACAGTCTCCCTGTGTAGCCCTGGCTGGCCTAGAATACACTCCATAGACCAGGCTAGCCTCAAACTCCCAAAACTGCCTGCCCTCTGTTTCCCAAGGTTTGGGACTGAAGTCATCTGCTACCATGCCTGGCCTGAGTGTGTGTGTGTGTGTGTGTGCGCGTGTTTATACACTAGCCCACGTGCAAGGCCTGTAAGTTTGTCGTGCATGCATGTGCAAAGGATGGGGCCAACTTCTGGTACCTTCCCTGACCTCCCTCTGGTTTACTGTTGGAGATAGGGTCCCTCACTGCACCGTGAGCTTCCTGCTTGGATGGCTGCCCAGCCACCGGCCTTTCCCTCCTCTCTGGGCAAAGTCACTCATGCGGCTTTCTGGATCTTTAATGTGTGACTTAATACGAGGTTGCCACAGCCTGCCGTGGACTGTTCAAGGCCTGAACAAGGACTGTTCGTATCCACAGCTCATCCCAACACAAACTGCTTTTCTACATAGAATCCGTTAGATGGATGGACGGAGACAGGAGACTAGCGCAGGAAAAGTCAGTTTCCATGGAATCTGCCAGGTTTCCTGGGGAGAGAGAACGGCTCTCTGGGTACCTGAGTATGCGTCACTGACTGGCACAAAGGAGGCTTCGACGGCCAGTGTCAAAGCCATGTCTCAGGTGTAGGTCATGATGGAGAAGCAAAGGATAGGCAGTGAGGCGCTTGTGGACACTTGCGTATTTCTGAAACATTCGTTACCTGGATACGACGTTAGGATTCTGCTAGTGCCAATAAAAAGTTATTAAACAGAATCACGCGTGGTGGTGCACAATTTTAATCCTGGCCCTCGGGAGGCAGAGGCAGGGGGACCTCTGAATTTGAGGCCAGCCTGGTCTACAGAGTGAGTTCCGGGCCAGCCGGAGTTACACAGAGAGACCCTGTCTTGAAAAAAGAAAAAAAAAATTACAGATGGGTGTCTAAAGGTTAACTTTTTTTTTTTCCTCTCCTCTCTTCCCCACTCTGCCTTATAGTTTATAGATATCCCGGAAGGCCTTATCCCTCCATCTACACCCAAGTATGCATACGGAAAAGTTGCCCTGAGAAAGGTAAGACAGGGCACAGGTTGGGAGTGTGGCTCAGTGAGTAGAGCGCTTGCCTGGCATGAGTGGAGCCCTGGGGTATGTCCCCAACACCGTGTAAACCAGTGTGCTGGCACACACCTGTAAGCCCGGCGTTCAGGAGCTGGAGGCAGGAGGATCAGGAGTTCGAGGTCATTGTTGGCTACGGAGTGAGTTAGAAGCTAGCCTGGGCTGCATAAAATTCTATCTCAAAAAGAAGAAAAAAAAAAAAAAAAAAACAAGTCTGATCCTCACTGAGAGTCAGATGGGGAGACACAGTGAGTGGAGGTGTTGTCTCGGGCCAAGGGCTGCTGTTTTCTGAGAGCCGGGCGGAGTGGTTGGCGTTTCTAAGGGAACGGGGAAATGAAAGGTGAGAAGATGCGGATGCAGGCTGACAGGCCGTGGCACAGGAGGAAGAGGGGGTCTTGGTTCGCTGTGGTTCAGTTCTCGGCTCTCAAAGGCAGTGCTGTGGGTGGCTGTGGAGGTGACATCCTACTTCATATTCTGCCCAATGGTGCTTTGTTCCATCATTTGCCCCTTTAACTTTTTCTTTATTTCATTTATTTCTTGGGTTGGGAGATGTGCATACCGTGGTAACTAGATGGAGGCCAGCGAACAACATGAGGGAGTCTGGGGAATGGAACTCGGGTTGTCAGACACGGCGACAAGTGCCCTTCTCTGTGACCCCCCCCTTACAAGTCTTACCCACCCTTTTTTAAATGCGTTCCCCCAGGCCACAGCAATTTTGACATCTCTGCTCTTAAATTAGATCCAAAAATCATATCCCAGTGACTTTTGGAATGCTGGGGCATGGGGGGGGGGAGCTAGAAATTAATCATTAGTAAGAGTTAAGGTGATTTCTTCTGGGGGAAAAGGGGGAGTTACCTAATGGTCGGAAGGAGGGTTGAAGCAAAATCGGCTTGTTTTGACTCTCTGGGTCTTCAGGTTTTTCCCTCACCCCATCCCTTACTCCTATATGCATTCATTCATCAGAAAAGAAGAAAACACGAACAGTCACTTACTTCTTAAGAATCTTGAAATTCTAAAATAGCAACCTAAGTTTTTATCTTTAAGCCAAATGCCAAACAGCGTGGTAGTTTTTTCCACTCGAAGCCTCTCTCCGGCGTCTGGTTGGCTGGCTGGGCTGCTGTAAGAGTTTCCACTGAGAGTGAGATCCTGTGCCTCACTCTACAAAGAGTGTGCTCTCTGATAGGAATCTCTTCTCAGACCTGTCACACTTGAGTCACACCGGGAAAGGGCACTTCCTCACCTATGCAGCTACTCAAGAAAACAGTAAGAACTTCTGTTACATGCTATCAAATAAAATATTAAAACAACAATACCAAAATTGAAAAAAAAACATAAAGAAATACAGCTTGGTGCCACGAAGGAAATCAGCAAGTTGGGCGTGTTGGCTCATGCCTGTAATCCTAGCGCTACGGGGGCTGAGGCAGGAGGATTGCTGTTAAGTTCAAGATCAGCCTGCGCTACAGAGTGAATTTGAGGCTAGCCTGGGCTATCGAGAAAGATGCTATATCCAGAAAACAGGGAGATGGGGTGAGGGTGGAGAGAAACAGATGTGGCTGTAAATCCCAGCACTGGGAAATGGGAGGCACGAGGATCAAATGTTCAGGGCCATCCCCTTGGCTACGTAGAGAGTTCCAGCCTGGGCTACGAGAGACACTAATAAACTCAAAATAAAACACAGAAACCTAGGAGGGAGGGACTCGGCATACAACCTTTTTCAATTCACCTCGGGGCCTTTCTTAAAGAGCTCTGAGCTGTGCTTCAGAATGGGCGCGCTTGAAACTCTCTTTAAGACCACCATCTTACATTTTCATAAGAATTAGGATCAGGGTCACACTGGCTGCTCTTTTTTTCTTAGTTTAGTTCTGTTTTGTTTGACACCCAAGCAGTCCTGGGCGTCCTGGATCTTGATATGTAGACCAGGCTGGCCCAAAGTCACAGACATTTGCCTGCCTTCCAAGTGCTGAGATTAAAGGCGGGTGCCACCCTGCCTGGCTTTGACTGAACTTCTAGAGGATCCAGGTTTGATTTTTGATTTCTAGTGCCTACATGGCAGCTCACAACCCTCTGTGACTCCAGTTCCAGGTTCTGGCAGCCTCTTCTAATCGACGTGGGCACTCACATGTGCACACAGATGGTACACAGACACACACGCAGGCCAGACACCCAAACACATAAAATTAAAAAGGAAAGAGGAGTAGGCTGTAGGGCATGGTTGCACGCACCTTTAATCCAAGCATTTGGGGGACAGGTTAGTCGGATCTCTGTGAGTTCAAGGCCAGCCAGGTCTATGTAGCTAGTCCCAGGCCACCCAAATAAAATAAAACAAAATAAAAAGTTAAGAGCCAGGCCTGGAGCTGCAGCTCAGGGGTAGAGAACTGAGGTGGTTTGTGTGACCCCCGAGTTTGCAGCTGGGGGTGGTGTCTTTAATCCCAACACCTGGGGGGCAGAAGCAGGCAGATCTTTGTGAATTCAAGACCAGAAGGTCTGCAGAGTGAGTTCCAGGCCTCAGAGGAGGGCCTGCTTGGCATGCAGAAAGCCCTGAGTTTGAACCCCAGCAGGACCTAAGGCAGATGTGGCCGCACACTCACAGTGCCCCAGCACTCGGAGAGTCAGAAGAGCAAGGCCACCCTTGGCCACATAGCACCCTAGGCCTGCCTGAGACACATGAGGCCTTGTTTCAGAAAGAAAGCCTTGTTTCAGAAAGCAAGGGAGCGAGTGGGAGAAGAGAGGGAGTGGCGAATAAAATCCAAGGTGATTGAGAAGCCAGTGAAACTTGGACAGTTGAGGCGTACCTCAATGTCTTTGATAAGCCCGACTCCCCCCGCCCCCCAAAAAAAACACACACACCGGGGACAGGACACTGAGTGTGTTTTTGCTTCTTTTCAGTTCAAGACAGTGGCCGAAGCTCTGGGCATCCTGTGTCCCAATGGACCTGTGAAAAGCCTTTATCCCTTGACGTTCGTCCAGGTAAAGCAGGTAGGTCTCCACAGGCAGCTCTGCCTTTCTTCCGCTGGCAATGCACGTGCTTCCGTACTGCCTCCTGGGCGTCGTGATTTTAGTGCTGAGAAATGGAAGTTTCGGGCTGGGATAGGGCTCAGTTGGTAGGGCGCTCTGGCTCTGCTGCTGTGAGCAAAGCTCAGGGTTCCGATCTCCAGCACCTCATAAACCAGGCATGGTGGCATGCCTCTAGTTCCAGCACTTGGGAGATGGAGGTCGGAGGAGAAGGATGTCCACCTCAAGGTCGCTATCAACTCCATGATATTCGAAGCCAACCTGGGCTCTGTAAGATCTTTTTCCTGCTTTGGAAAGAACTTCCGTGTGCTCCGTGCTTGCGTGTGCTTCATTTCCTGGCACCCCTGTGCCTCTGTAGAAGTTTCTCTCAACTTTTTCCCTTACAGGATTTTACCCTATCCGCTTTTCATCTGACTCATCTGTTAGCAATTGCTTTTCCTGCTTTGTGTGTGTGTGTGTAGTGGACTGCTTTTCCCTTTGTAAGCCTCTGTCTGTCTATCTGTGTGTGTGCGTGTGTCTGTCTGTCTGTCTGTGTCTAGTTCTGTGTGTGTATCTATCTGTGCATGTTTGTGTGTGTCTATCTGTCTGTGTCTCTATCTCTGTGTGTGTATCTATCTGTGTATGTGTGTGTGTGTGTGTGTGTGTGTGTGTGTGTCTATCTCTGTGTGTATTTATGTGTGTGTGCGTCTGTCTGTGTCTCTGTCTGTCTGTCTGTGATGACTGGTTCCTCAGAGGCTGAGGACAACACTGACCTGAGCTTCCAGGAGGAGAGGGAAAGCTAATGCTCTCTGCAGACTTGGTTGAGGCCGCCCCTTGCAGGCGACCCGTGTGTGACTGGCCCCCTGGCCTGCAGCCCGTGCCCACCACAGTTAAACTGCACAGAATTGTTGTGTGGGCTTCTCCCAGACCCCAAACCGGAGGCTCAGTGCCCCACCCAGGTCCAGGTCTGAGGACAGCGTCTGCCAGGGGGACTGCAGAATGGCCCCTGGATGTTATTGGCAAGGTCGGCAGAGTGTGGGGCTCAGCTCTCCAGGAACCAACTGTGAGATGGTTGCTGAAACAAGATAGTGTAAAAAGAGCAACTGGCAGCAAATACCACGCTAAGATTAGACTGCAGGACTGTCACCTTCTCCAGACTCCACCGGAAGCCAGGAAGGGGGACTCAGTGACCTAACACCTCAGAAACAGGGCTGAGATGCCAACTAAATGATCCAGTGTGACAAAGGGCCAAGTGACCCGTGGCATGCCCGTGACATCATCCCGGGGCCCGTCCTAGGAGGACATGTCTTCTCGCCTGTGTCCACAGAAAAGGCATTTTACTGACTCCTGTGAGGGAGGAATGGTCTAGGAACAATCTGACCTCTTTGGAATCTGTTGCTGTAAGCCCAGCTGCGATGCCCTCATGAGCGTGTGGGAGGCAGAAGTGAGACGCTAGAGAGCTGGAGGCCAGCCTGAGCTACATAGTAAATTCTAGCCTGGCCTGTGAAATGGTGCTACCTTGTCTCCAAAAAAAAAAAAAGAAGAAGAAAGAAATTAAAAAACAGAAAATCCAGCACAACAACAAAAACCCAGTGAGATCATATAGACTAGATTTTAAAAGAGTTGAGGTGGCTGGAGATGGGTCAGCACTTAAAACCACTGGCTGCTTTTCTAGGGGACCTGGGCTCGGTTCCCAGCACCCACACCGCAGCTCACAGCTGTAGCTCTAGCCCCAGGCATCTAAAACCTCTGGCCTCTGGGCACCTTCATTCGTGTGCACACACACACATAAACATCACATATAACCAGCTGTGGTTATATGTCATCCCAGCACTTGGGGGAGGATGGAGGCAGGAGAATAAGGAGGTCCAGACTGTCCCTGGCTATGTAGTAAACTTGAGGTCAGCCCGGGCTACCCGAGTCCTCGTCTCAGCAATAAGTAAGTATTACTCCTGATTTGGTAGCAAAACCCACCCACCCCCAACTCTCTCTTCGCTGTGAATGGTTTCAGGTTGAGTCTGGTTTTGTACCTTAGGGCAGATTTAGCCCAGGGACCTGGAGAATGTTTTCCTGAGCAGAAGTCAGGTTTGTCTTACATTTGGGGCTTTGCCTGGCTTTAAAAAAAAAAAAAAATGTGTGCATACATTGCCGCTTGCCTGTCTGAGCACTGCCTGCACGCCTGGTTCCCGCAGACGCCTAAAGGAAGCTTCCGATCCCCTGGAACTGGAGTTACAGACTCTCCGAACCCGGGTGCTCTTAACTGCTGAGCCATCTCTCTCGGCCCCTTTAAAAACAAAAACCTCTTATTGCCTTTATTTGTTCGCTTTGCTGGTGTGTATGTGTGTGTGCCACAGCACACCTATGAAGGTGAGAGGCCAGCTTGTGGGAATGGGCTCTCTCCTTCCATCATGTGGGTCGTGGGGATTGAACTCAGGTCGTCAGGCTACGTGGTGGCCAGTACCTTGACCCACTGAGCCGCCTCACCAGCTCTTGATTTCTTTTTGTCTTGAGTTACTGTGATTTCCCTGGGTCACTCCAGGCCGTAACCTCACTCTTGTTTTCCCTGTGGAGCAGAGGGCTCTTCTGTTTTTGAATAGCTCCGCCAGGATCTAAAAAGGTCACCTGGCTGTGGGTGGAGGAAGCTTTTCCTTCCCTACGGTATCCAGAAAGGTGCTTTCATCCAGATCAAGGGCGAGGGAGTTCTCAGTAGCCGAACTCTGAGTAATGCGTTTCTCTCATCTCCTTTCCTCACCAGTATTTTGGGTTTGTGCTTTACCGAACAACGCTCCCTGAAGATTGCAGTAAGTCAACGCCCATTTCCCTCCGTGGGGTCCACGACCGGGCCTATGTCTCCGTGGACGGGGTAAGCATTCTCTTCAAACTCCACATCGAAGCCTTGACAGGGGTGTGTGGAGAGCCTTGTAACACGGCATTTGAGCTCTCCAGCCTGTTGTCCTTGGCAGTGCCCTTGCTTGCCACTGTGGTCACATGCTGTAGACTCCGGGCTGTTTCCCAGCACTCACACTGTAGCAGAGCCTGAGGCCAAGGCCAGCGCTTCCCTCACTGAGCTCAGCACCTCACCCAGGCCTCCTCTGCTCGTAAAGGGCAGCTTGGTACCTGTCACCGCACAAATGTGCTGACCCTGGAGACTCCCTCCGACGTGAGGCATTGCAGTCTAAAGGGATGCTCCTGGCAGTTTTTACTAAGGTCCACCAAGGACTTCATTTCCCAGCAGGATGCAGGTGGATCTTTAAACACCCTTTCCAGCATCTAGTATGCTGGCACGCACCTGCATTCCCGGCTGTCAGAAGGCTGAGGCAGGAGAGCTGCAAGATCCAGATTCATCCCCCGACGTGATGAAACCCAGGGCCTACAGAACAGAAAGGAAGGGATGAGGAGCCCTGGCCTGTGAGTTGGCTCAGCAGGTAGAGGCGCTTGCTGCTGACTCCTGCAAGTTGTGCTCTGATGTCCACGCCTGTGCCTTGGCACTGAGTGTGCGCAGGGACGGTAATGAATAAAGCAATACTAAAAAAGATATCTGCAGCCGTTTGCTCCTCGTCGGAACAGTTACGGGAAAATCTCATGGGACGATTTTCCTAGCCAAGGATTTTTTTCAGAAAATTTTTAGAGTTTGGAGGTTTGGGTGGTAGTTGTTTGTTTGTTTGTTTGTTTGTTTGTTTTTCAAGACAGGATTAAAAATAAAAAAAGACGGGATTTATTTTTGTGTAGCCTTGGCTGTCCTGGACTTGCTCTGTAGACTAGGCTGGCCTTGAACTCACAGAGATCTGCCTGCGTCTGCCTCCCTGAGTGCTGGGATTATAGGTGTGCACCATCGCCCAGCTTTGGTAATTTTTTTTTTTTTTTGAAGAGGTTCTCATGCCAGCCAGGCTGGCCTCAGACTTGCTTTGTATCTAGTGCCAGCCTTGAACTCCTGATCTTCCTGCCTCTGCTCCCCAAATGCTGGGATTACAGGTGTGCATAACTCCTGAATAGTTTAAATTAAAATATTTTCACTCTAGGCTGGGAAGATAGTGCAAGCATGAGTTCAGATCCCCAGCACCCATGTCAAGAACAAAGGAGCAAGGGGCTGGAGAGATGGCTCAGTGGTTAAGGGCATTTGATGCTCTTTCGGAGGACCACATGGAGGAGCACATGGCAATGCACATTTATCTGTAGCTCTAGTTCCAAAAGATCTGTAAACTCTTCTGGCCTCTGTGGACACCAGGCACAGGCATAGTACACAGTCACACACGCAGGCCAACCACTCACCCACATAAATGAAATAGTAAGAAGAAAGAAATCCAGCTGTGGCAGCATGCAGCTGTAATCTCAGTGCTGGGGACCTGGGGACAGGAGGGTTCTTTGGGAGCCTGGCCAGCCAGCCTCGCCTCCTCTGCAGGGTCCGGGTGAGCAGGAGACCTTATCTCAAAGAGGAAGATGGGCTGTTTCTGAAGCTGCCACTGGCCTCTGAACACACACACAATGCCGGGAGCGGGGAGGGCTTTCTCTTGTAACCAACAGATTTTATCCCCGGCAAGCCCCTTAGGCGTGACACTGCCCTTGCCCTTCCCTGGCCTCTCGTTAGTTGTGTCCTGGTAACTTATGGTCAGTGTAACCATAAGTTATTTTTTTTTTAATAACCTTTTTAAAAAGCCAGGAATGGGACTGGGGATTTAGCTCAGTAGTAGAGCCCTGGATTCATGGTGGGGAGTGGGAGTGGAGTGAATGAATGACCAATGGATGGATGGATGAATGAATGAATGGATGAATGAATGAAGCATAGGAATGCACTGTTGATAAGATACCTGCTGTTTTCCCTCACCCGGTTACATAACCTCTGTGGCTAGTGTACCCTAGCAAGTGAGGCGAGCTGACTCCACCTAACTCTGATTTTATCTGTTAGCTGATTTTATCAGCTCTCTGCACGCGTGTGAGGGCCTCTCTCTGTGCCTGACCTGAGCCGTGAGAAGGTGAAGTGACCCTTCTCATACGAGCACCCCCCTGGACCGTCTTGCCTATCTCATTCCTTTAAAAATAAGCTCGGCGTGTGGGAGGTGAGGCAGGAGAGTCACAGGCTCCGGGGAGGCCCACAGGGTGGACGGAAAGAACTGACCTCCACATGCACCATGGCACACATGTATGCACAGACCTGTGGGCGCACATACACGCCCACAAATAACTAAATGTCAAATATACAGCAGGAAAATGCCTGGGCCTAGCATGGTGGTCCACACCTGAAATCCCAGCATTTGTGAGATGGAGTCAGAAAGGTCTCAAATTCAAGGCCATCCTGGGCTATATCGAATGACCTTTTTCCAAGTAGAAAGGAGTTCCTGCTAGAGACATTCCCAGGCAGAGGAGTGTACCCTGAGCTTGTGCAGCCTCCTTCTTATTTGGGAAGACAGGGGTTATGGGAACCTGAGCACATCTGGACTCTCCCTGTAAATCTGATGACACCTCGGGGCAGGAAAAGTGATGTAATGCCAGGTTCACGGGACCCTCAGAGACCACCAGGATACGACTCAATGCAATTGTAAGAGAGCTTTATTACAAGAGCAATCAAACTCAGGACCCAAGTCTTACTGACGCAGAAGTAGAGAAGTGGGACCCCAAGCTCTGAGTGAACAGGATTTTTAAAGGGGAAGTCTACGAGCAGGGGGTTTCCATGGCAGCAAGCAGGGGGGCACAAGCCTTGGCATTACAGAATTGGGTGAAGTTTAGCAGGGCGGTGACCTTTTCTGAGGCACACAATCACAATGGCTAAGGCATATAATCACAATGGCTATTTTTCCAAACCACATCTGAAACATTGGGGAGAATTTTCCCACCCGATTTCCAACCGATTCCCATTGATTATTGCCAGGGAGTTTGTCTCTATTTTCTATGAAGCATTTATTCTGTATTATTTCCTGGAGGCTGTGGCTAGGAGAGTTAACTTTGTTCTCTGACAGGTGTACATTCTGTGATATTTTCTGGTACCTGAATTCAGCTCTCAGTCAAGATGGCTCTTTATTTTAAAATGGAGTCACCCAGGCTAACTACACCCAGGCTAACTTAAGCTCTCCAGTGACAGATTAGCTGTACACATGGCTCTTTCGCTCTGGTCTAACCCTTCGTTCAGCCTTTGGCTTTAACTCACAGGTGCCCCAAGGAATCCTCTCGAGAGACCATGTGACCACTCTGAACGTACAGGGCAAAGCTGGGGCCTCTCTGGACATTCTGGTGGAGAACATGGGGCGCGTGAACTATGGCCCAAACCTCAGAGACTCTAAGGTAGGACCCCGACAGGGTAAGCTGTGCCTGATAACAGCAGTGACACTGTACGGGCTTAGCCCGAATCTTACATGTCGGTGACTCTCAGGCGGGACGCTGTACGGGGGAAGCCTGTGCCTGAGAGGCTGAAAGAAATTCTGTTCTTGCATTCAATACTCAATGCAAGCATTTTTGCTTTCTGCTTCCATTTATACAGAAACAAATTTGAATACTTCTATTTCTGTTTAAGGAATACAGTTTAATATTTACTTTTTTTTTTTTTTTCTTTTTTTGGAGACACGATCTCTCTGTGTAGCCCTGGCTGTCTTGGAACTCCCTATACAGGCCAGGCTGGCCTCAGACTCAGGGATCCACCTGCCTCTGTCAAGCGCTGGGACTAAAGGTGTGCACCACCACATTCAGTCTACACCTTAGCGTCTGAACTTTTTAAACATTTTGTTTATTCTCATTCTCTCTTTCTCTCTCTCTCTCTCTCTCTTTCCCTCCCTCCCTGTCTTTTTTAGGGGCACATTCTCAAGTAGTCCAGGCTAGCCGTGAACTCACTGTGACTGTGACTTTTTTATCTTTCTGCTTCCACCTCCCAAGTGCTGGGCTCACAACCGTGTGCCCCCATCCTGTTTATGCAATGCTGGGGCTTGAATTCAGGGCCTCTTGCACACTAGGCAAGCACCCTGCCAGCTGAGCTACATTCCCTAGCCCTTAAAGCATTGAGATATGATACATATATAGAGAGATGTATGCATGTATGCATATACATGTGTCTATTCATACACACACATATGTGTGTATGCATATATGTATGCACTCATTCTGAGGGATCTCCACAAACCAGCTGTCACAGAGCCTGCAGACTTCACTGAGCCTAGAAGATGCGTTTCCTTTTCCTCCACAGACCATGAGGACCTTGAGCTCTGCAAGCAGAACCCTCCCCTCGTGTCTGAGCTCAGTCATCTTGTGGAGAGAAACGGAAGCCGCTCCACCGTGCTCTTCCTCTGCTTTGAAAACCCACCCAGCTCATCAGAGCGTTCCTACCCGTCTGAGTCAGGGTGGCATCTGGTGGGCTCTGCTGTGCAGGCTTGGATGGTGGCCTGCAGCAAACTCTGCTGTAGAAGGCCCCTTTGCTGCTGCCCTACCACTGGCCTGTAGATTATTCTCTGTCCAGTCACAATGTGGTGTTCTAACCAGTATTTCTAGATAATTGAGTAACTTTATATTACCGGGTGTGGTGGTGCAGGCCTGTAATCCCAGCACTCAGGGAGGCAGAGGCAGGCTGATCTCTGTGAGTTCAAGGCCAGCCTGGTCTACAAAGCAAGTCCAGGACAGCCAATACTACACAGAGAAACCCTGTCTCAAAAGAAACCCAAACAAACCAAAAACAACTTTATTTTAATCTGGGTTTTTGTTTTGTTTAATTTGTTTAAGAAAAAGCCTCTCAGGCCAGGCTGGGCTGAAACTCACTATGTAGGTATGTCCTTGAACTCCTGAGCCTCCTGCCTGCGTCTCACAAGTGCTAGGTCTGTGGGCATGTTCCAACACACCCAGTTTATGCAGCAGAGTCAGAACATGAGCTAGATTCCACAGACTTCCACACGAATGGTCCTCTCAGCTGGGCAGGTGCCTGGCTGCTCTGATGGGGTGAGGGGCAGAGGCCACCCCTGCCGTCTGCATTGGGGTGAATATTCCTAGATTTCCCTCTTTACTGATTCTCCCCTTCATTTGTCCCCCATTCTAGCAATTTCTGAAGACAGGGGGATTTGGGCTCCCGTTTTTCCCTCAGAGAGCTGTAACAGACAGTAGGATGACATTGTCATGACGCTAAAGTGAGCACAGGGCCACACCTCTCTCTGTCCAAAGAGTTGCTCTTACCAGAGTAGTTAGGGGCAGAGCCTGAGCACCAGCTGCCTGAAAAGCAGCAATCCAGATCCAGACAAGGGACAGCGAAAAGCAGAAAGATTTATTCAGTGTGGCCACTTTGGGAAAAGAAAGAAGTCCAGTGACATCCCCAAACCACTCCACTCTAACCCCAGTCCATCCTTGGGTTCAGGTTTAAACAGAAGGCTAGAGATCCTCCAGCAGTCCTTCCCATCACCGACCCCTCCCTGCCTCAGCTCCAGTCTCTCCAGCGGGCGCTCTAATACATGGTCAGACATGGTGACATGGTGACATCACTTCCTGGGAGACAAGCTTCCCCTCCAGCTGAGACTAGGTCTTGGCCTTTCTCTCCCAGCATGACATTTCTGGGACATTCCAATTTCTTGTGTTCCATCATCTCAATAGCCTGCCAGCCAAGCGGAGGGGTGCAGATGTCTCTTTAGAATATCTTCGTGCTGGGCTGGAGGGGTGGCTCAAGGGTTAAGAGGACACACGTTTGTACCAGAACACCCACATTGGGCAGCTCACAACTGCCTGTAACTCCAGCTCCAGGGGATCCAATGCAAGAAGATGCCCTCTTTTGCATGGTACCACATGCGTGTATACACACACATCACATGCCACAAATAAAAATAAATTTTTTAAACTAAAAAAAAAAAAAAAAAGAGCCAGCCAGGCATGATGGCACACTCCTTTAATCCCAGCACTCTAGGATACCTCCTAGGCAGGCAGATCTCTGTGAGTTCAAGGTCAGCCCGGTCTACAGACTGAATTCCAGGACAGCCAGGACTACACAGAGAAACCTTGTCTTGAAAAACCAAAATGAAAAAAACCTTTTTTTTTTTTTTTTTTTTTTTTTAAAGAATATCTTCGTTCCTACCAGGACAGTCAGGACAGTGGGTTAGACTGAGCCCCTGGCCTGAGCGATGTCTCCTGGCTGTACACACAGCTGAGTCATTTCTGCTTCTTCTCCCAGGGATTCAGGGACATCCATGACTCCCTTCAGTGCCTGCTGTCTCATGGGCCTGTGTTTTCCTTTCACAGGGTTTGGTGTCTAACGTGACCCTCAACGGCACCATCCTTACCAACTGGACAATCTTCCCACTGGACACCGAGACTGCGGGACGAAGCCACCTTGCAGCCTGGGAAGCCTGTGGTGAGGGCCGCCATGACGAAGGCCCCCTCCTTTCAAATTACACACTCCCCACCTTTTACGTGGGCAACTTCTCCATTCCCTCAGGCATCCCAGACCTGCCCCAGGACACTTTCATCCAGTTCCCTGGATGGGTCAAGGTATGCATCTTCATGGGTTCAGGCCTCAAGCGTTTGCCTCTTAGTATCTGAGAGGGAATCAAAAGGCTGCTAAAGGGATGCTCTGTAGGGGGGGAGAGGGTATCTTACCGGGTCACACTCGGGAGCAGAACTGTGGTAGATGTCAGGGCCCATCGTCCAGCTTGGAGGTGTCCGTGTCTCTTCTGTTTTCTTTGACTGACAGCTTTCTTCAGTGAACAACAGGAAGAACTAGGACATATTTATTTTTACTGCATTGACTGGTGTGTCCATTGGCATGTGTGTTCGAATGTGCCTGCCACGGCATACATGTGGAGGCGAGAGCCATGGGAGTCATCTTTCTCCCTCCACCGTGTGGCTCCTATGGATTGAACTCTGGTCACTAGGCGTGTTAGCAGGCCAGAGTCATCTCTGCCATCCCCAGGGCCTCTTCAGATGCTGCTGATGAAGGGAAAAATTTTTTTGTCTGCAAAGGGTCTCATGTCGCCCAGGTTAGCCTTGAATTTGCTATGTAGCCAAGAAGGACCTTGAAATCCTGCTGTTCCTGTCTCTGCTTCAGCTATATACCTTCATAGCTGACTTTTCAAAAGACATCAGCTCACGGTCCCAAAGAAAACAGTGTTCATATCATATAGCTAACAAAGGACCTCACTCTAGATTGTATGTGCTTATGCTTACCACTAAGTTAGAGGAAAAAAAAACCCAAAAGTTAGGGGAGCTGAAGATGGCAGAGGAGCAAAGTTTGGTTCTCAGTATCCACGTGGTAGATCTTAACTGTCTGTGCACATACATATATGCACATAGCATAAATATATACATATATACATACATATATATATATATATATATATATATATATATATATATATATATATATATATGCAGGCAACACACCATACAACAAAAAAAGATCTTGTGAAAACTGGATAAAGAAATTGAACAGCTACTGCACAGAGAAAGTAAGCAAATGGGCAATAAATACATTAAAAGTTCTAAGTGCCAAGGGGGTGGGAGGGTGGGAGGGGCAATCAGAGTGCCAAATAAATTGATCATTGAAAAAAAAATGCAGGTTAAATCAGTATAATATAAGGCCCGGTGTGGTGACACACACTGGCACAAGCAGTCTTTGAGAAGTTGAAGACAGGAGAATCAGAAATTCAAAGTCATCCTCCAGTACAACCTAGTGTTGGAAAGCAGATGATAACAAGTTTAGGAGACTAGCGATGACAAGGCAGGGTTTCATATACAGTTGTACAGAAAGAGACGCAAGTGCGGAGAGTAATGCAAAAACATCCGGGTGCTAATTCATCCCCAGATCATGAGAAATTCCTGTCCTCTCTTCCCATAGGCCAGGACAGCCCTCTTCCCTAATTCCCCACCACGTTGTTTTGTGCACAAAGCTTTATCTAACGAACACTTTGGGGCTCACAACTGCCTGCTTCCCTGATCTTGGGCTCAGTCAGTAGCCGACTGCAGTAACTTTCTGGTTCTCGGTGTTCTGGGACAGCCAGTGCTAACTGCCAGCTGCAGGAGAGAGGGCCTGGGCGAGCACCTCCTGCTTGTTTGGGACTCTGATGAGCTCAAAGCTCACCTCTCACCATAACAACTTATTTGCTTTGTTTCTGTTTCTTCGAGACGGGGAACGGTTCCTTAACAGCAGCAAGTTTAGACCAGCCTGGGCTGCAGGAGAAACTGTCTCAAAACAAACAAAAATCCAAGAGCCATTGGCGCATTTGACAAGTGCTGCCCATTTCTCCCCCTCCCCCCAACCCCCACCTCCCTGGAAGTGATCCACCATTGGCCTCTCGGCTGAGCCATCATATACCAAGCACAGTGAGGCTTCTGGTGTGGCTTCTGGTCACTGCCATATTCTCCTCAGTCTAAGCTCTGCCTGCCTAGAAAGCCTGGTCCTTCTCTGCCCTGTCCCTGACAGGGTCTCATCCTCCCTGACAGGTGTCACTGCTGTTTCCTGGACTTCCTGTCAGACCCCCTCTACCCTCACTTCCTGCCCTGTGGTCTCTAGAAGGAAGGTTCAGTTCTGCCTGCCTTCTTCCCCGAAGCCAAAACCCCGTTCTCACTTTCTCTGCCCATGATTCACCAGCCTTTTCTTCTCCCTTAAGGCAAAGAAGCCGTATCTGGGGGCTCTAGGGCCTGGGAACAGGAGGTGCAGCCCTGTCTCCAGAGGTGCTTCCCCTTCAACTAGCAGGGGACTCTCTGCCCCACAAGCCACCCTTGGTTTCTCCCCTGCCGAGTAGAACCTAAAGTGAGAAAGGAAGCCAGGAAGGATGCTTTGGCCATCAGAGGTGGCTTGGTTTGCTTGTGTGGGCCACCAAGCCAGGCCTTGTGCACTTTGCCAATCCTCTCCCAGCTGTCATGCAGCAGGATATCCTCTCGTTAGCACAAAATCTCTGGCTTTGGCAGCTCAGCCTAGCAGAGGTGGCCACACACGGCATTGTGACGGCTAAAAAGACAAAGAGCCTGGGGTATAGCTTGGTGGAGCGCTTGCTTAGTGTACATGGGCGCAGTCCTGAGCACCACACAAAACTAGGCGAGGTGGTGCCGAGCAGCCCCAGAAGGTGGGAGGAGGATCAGAAGCTCGAGGTCATCTTCAGCCACATAGCAAGTTCCAGGCCAGCCTGGACTACAAGGACGCTTGGGTTGACTCCTGGCCTGCATGTGTGTACACACTTCAGGAGCTGTCCTCCTTGTTTCTGTTTTGCTTGTTTGATTTTTGTTTCACTTTGTTCATCATCACTGTCCGTGTGTGGGTGAGGTGTGTGTGAGAGTGTGGATATGGCAACCACAGGCGACTTTCTAGCACCGGTTCCCTTCTTCCACTTTGGATTCCAGGGATCACACCCAGCTCTCCAGGCTTTCACAGCAAGCCCCTTTACTTGTGAGTCAGCTTGCCTGATCCCCTCCCTGGGACCTGGGGCTTTCAGATCCCCCTAGGCTGACTGGGTCCCCTCGTCTCCACCTCCCCACACTGGCATTATAAGCATATCCCAACACACCAGGCTTCTTATGTGGGTTCTGGGGATGGAACTCAGGACCTTGTAATTGGGGGATAAATGCTTTATGGACCAAGATACATCGCCAGCCTCAGCATTTGGTATGCCCCAAGGCCCCACAAAAAGGTAGGCAGCTGGGGGTTGAGGGAGAGGGGGTCCAAGAAGGAGTAACAAGTGCAGGTTTCTAGAGAGTCACATTTAGGTTACTATACAATGTTGTCTTGGGTTTTTATTGCTGTGATAAAACCTCCCAACCAAAGGCAACATGGAGAGGAAAGGGTTTATTTTACTTTATACTTCCAGGTAACAGCCTGTCCCTGAGAGAAGTCAGGGCAGGAGCCTGGAGGCTGGAGCTGATGCAGAGGCCGTGGAGGGGTGCTGCTTACTGGCCTGCTCCTCATGGCTTGCTCAACCTGCTTTCCTATAGAAGCCAGGACTGCTAGCCCAGAGGTGGCACCACCCACCATGGGTTAGGCCCTTCCCCTCTGCTATGGGCCATTCCGAGGAAGGCGTTCGCTCAGTTGAGCTTCCCCCTTCCCAGATAACCCTGGCTTGTATGAGGTTTACAGAACATCCAACCAAGACAATGGGTGTAGCGTTTTGGTGGCTCTCATGTTACGTCTTTAAAGGCTGCTAAGGACATTAGCCCTTAAGGGGGGCGGGCAGCAGCCTTCCACAGAGCACCAAAGGCCACAGAGAGCTTGTGTCTTCCCCTGGGCCTGGCCCCAGGTTTGCACTCCGCACGGCCAGTCTCACTCACACTTAGCATTTCCGTGCCTGGAAAGATCACTCTCACAGTACCCACAAGTGTGTGAGCAGAGGTCCGCAATGGTGTCATCCATGATTATCGACAGGAGGTGATGGGCCCAAAGTGCATCTGATAACACTTCGGTCATCCGTGCAGTGAGACCATCTGGCCATAAAAAAGAAAGTAAAAAAATGTGATACACATTATAACACGGGAACCTTCAACCTCACGCTAGCCTGGCATGCCAGCTCACCCTGGCACTCAGGAGGCGGCACAAACAGACACAGGTGGATCCTGGGGGTTTTCTGGACAGTCAGCGCAGCGGCTTCAGGGTCTGTGGAGAGGCTGCTCCAGAGGATAGGTGAAGAGTGATGGAGAGGGCTGGGGAGGTGGCCCAGTGGTTAAGAGCTCTCGCTCCTGCAGAGGACCCAGGTTCTGTTCCCAGCACCCACATGGTGGCTCACAACCATCTGCAGCTCTAGTTCCAGGAAATCTGATGCCCGCTTCTGAGCTCCAGGGGCATCAAGCAGGACGTGGTGCACAGACATGGATTCAGGCAAAAGAAATGAAATGAAATAATAGTAATAAAATAGCCAAGGAAGGCGCCCACACTTCTGGTCTCCACATCACAAACAGGCAAACGCCTCCATGCACCCCTCCATAAACACAAATAAAGCACCCCTCTTCCAGGCCTCACCCTGTGCTGAGGGAGGGACACTTCCTCGGATGGCATGGGGGAAGAGGAAGGGTCTGACCAGGTGACGCTGAGGCCTGAGCAGCTCTCACTGGCCCTCTGTCTTCCTCCTCCACCGAGGGCCACTTGGCTTCCTTCTCCATTTGTTACAAAGGAACTAACTTGATTTAGTGAATGAGCTCGCTGATGAATGCGATTCGTGAGATAAAAGCAGCACTTCTGATTACTCTGGCTTTTCTGGGGTTGGATGTGGCTTTCTGGTTAAGCCAGTGAGCTGGGCAGATTTCGGTGGTGAGGGGTCAGGCATGCCTGCTCCGTCCACACAGGTCAGCACCCAGTCTGCACCATGCCCTGGCTGACTGGAGACTCCCTCATAGAGATGTGTTCTCCGGGACTTTGGGGATGGGTCAGAATGTGAGTCATGCCGTGAAGCGTCCTGTTGTGCTGAGACAGTGGCGTCTGTTCTGCTCACCTCCGACTGAAATGAGTTGGATACACCTTCCATTACAATATTATGTCAAGCTGTTCGGGGTGCAATCCCAACAGAGGC